ATAGTAGCATCTGTAATTAGTAAGGTTAAAATAACCCATAGTTGGGAATTTGCTAAAATTAATCTTTAGTTGGGTTATATGTGAAGAGTATTTCTAACCAAACTATCATTGTAAGAAAAAACGAATGGAAGTCGATGGTTACAGGTTTCCAACATTCTTCAAAATATCTTCTTTTGTGTTCAACGGATACACAAGTAAAGGAGGAAAGAATTAATATTTGTGTGAACGAAACCCATTTAGGGCGGTGCGGTGGCTTAGTGGTTAGCACTTTGGCCTCACAGCAAGATGGTCACTGGTTCAAGCCTCGGCTGGGTCAGTTGTCTGTGTGGATGTTCTCCCCGTGTTGGTGTGGATTTTCTCCGGGTGCTCTGGTTTCCTCCACAAGTCCAAACACATGTGGTATAGGTGAACTGGGTAAGCTAAAATTGACCGTATGAGTGTGTGTGTTTTCCAGTGGTCGGTTGTAGCTGGAAGGGCTTCCGCTGCGTAAAACATATGCTGAATAAGTTGTCGGTTCATTCCGCTGTGGCAACCCCAGATTAATAAAGGGACTAAGCTGAAAAGAAAATGAATGAATGAATAAACCCATTTAGGGCGGCGCGGTGGCTCAGTGGTTAGCACTGTGGCCTCACAGCAAGAAGGTCGCTGGTTCAAGCCCCAACTGGATCAGTTGTCATTTCTGTGTGGAGTTTGCATGTTCTCCCCGTGTTTGCGTGGGTTTTCTCACAGTCCAAGCACATGCACTATAGGGGAATTGATCAACTAAACTGGCCTTAGTGTATGGGTGTGTGTGTGTGTGTGTGATTATGGGTGTTTCCCAGTACTAGGTTGCAGCTGGAAGGGCATCCACTGTGTAAAACAAATGCTGCAATAGTTGGCGGTTCATTCCGCTGTGGCGACCCCTCATAAATAGGGGATTAATACACTCTCAGAAATAAAGGTACAGGAGCTGTCACTGGGGTAGTACCTTTTGAAAAGGTACCAATTTGTACCTAAAGGGTCCATAATGGTACCACAAAGGAGCTTTTTGGGTACAGCTGGGTACTAATATGTACCTTTGAGATACCACCGTGGATTCTTTGGGTAAAAATATGCATCTTTTGAAAAGCTTCTGCCCCAGTGAAAGCTTCTGTACCTTTATTTTTGAGAGTGTATGTGTTTAATGACATTTAATCGACCCTTATTATGCTTTTCTCAGATATGGTGCGGCCTGTAGGGGGCGCTCTTTACCACACTGTCACATTGACAAAGCATGCATAAAATTACAAGATCTCCAGGAGTTCACTTATTTTTAATGCACTAGCAAACGTATTGAGCTATGTGGTTATTGATGTAAATACACTGAGGAGCGTCTCATTAATTCAAATTGGCCAATAATATAATCCGGTGTGTGTGTTTCTCTCTAATGGTGTTCATATTGCTGCTCTTACAACATTAAGTCAATAAACTATTTGTCATATTCACATTTTTTCCTCATTTTTTAAAAACACTTTTACTTAAATCTTCTCTAAAAATGTGAGATGTTTTTCTAAAAATGTCTCTCTAGTGTTTATTATTATTGATTGTATATAATCTGAAATCCTGCATAGGCATAATGTGGTTTTATTCTGTATAAGTTGTTCTAAAATCTTTGTTTCTCCTGCTTTTTCTCCTTGATATTCACACCTGATCTTCCAAAGTGTTTATTTCTCTAAGTGTGCTCTCTAAGAAGTGTGTTGTTATCAGTATTATCAATAAAAGGCTGTGTCTGAACACATGTGGTGGTTGTTTGTTTGTAATACTCCAGCAGTTAAGAGCTATACTGTCCTGCTGACGTGGTGCTCTGCTATCAAACACACAGAGCTTTATCTGAATGAACAGGGAGGACGAGCTGCCCGCTGATAAGATATGGGAAAACAGCTTGTAAATTTATTTCGCAACTGTGCTAAAGTCTTACATCTGAGTCACTAGACGTCCGAGTTCTGTAGAAACTAATGTACTGTACTCTTGTCCAGGTGAAGCAATGATGTCTGTTAACATGCTGTAAAATACATCTGTTCATGAAAACTTTCTGCATTTCAAGTGTTTTGGGTTTATTTACCATAGTGAAGTGCATTATGGGATGTATTTGATGTTGAAAATGTGCTGGCAGTTTATTACAAGGTGTTTGTAGCGTAATATACAACAGCAGCCCACACAATACATCACTTTAAACTAATAAACATGTTCATAAAAGTCCCTTTTTACTAATTTTAAAGGTTAAAAGTTGTTAGGATCAAGATCCCATAATGCCATTGCATCACAAAATATGTAAAACTGTTAATTTACAGAGATTTTTTATAGTGCATGCTTATTGTTTCTGGTTATTTTTATAGCTTTTGGTTCCTGCATATAAATAATAACATATTCAGATAACATATAATGAAACGTATTATCCAGTGTTATTTTTCCATGCTATATGTTTTATGCTTTTACATAATGTAAGACTTGTCACATGTTTTAATCCCCTAATCTGTTGAAAATGTTTTCAGAACAAAGAACAAATAATACATTTTTAACAGTTTAAGAGTCAAAAATCTCTCCCAATTCACTGTACATAACATGTAGTCTCTTCCTGGAAATAATGGTTATATTTATTATGTGAATAATCACCATATTCAATACTGTATATGTGGTAGAATATACTTTTAATATAATAATAGTATTAAATGGTGTGTGCACAAATACATTGTTTGACTGAAGCATGTGGCTTTTTTTGTTATTAAAGCTTCTAAATCAGAAAAATAAAAATATTAATACTTTTAATACATTAAATGTTTTGTTGTGTTTATTATTTTTGTTGTTTATTTATTTGGTCCACAAGCCCACGTGTTCTTTATGTTTTTTTTCTATTTTCCTTATAAAATAACTGCATATTGTGTTGTTCTTTATATTAGCTTATGGGATAGTGCTAATTTAGTCATATACATTTATTTCAGAAGCATGAAAATATATGGTATGATTTTTTTTTTAAGTTCAATTTTGTTCTGTAAGGGCTGGATTTAGCTTTTTAGTGATACATGTGAAGATTTGTATATGCACTTGTGATTCAGTGGGATGTAAGGATATACAGATGTCAGACATCCTGTTTATTTGTGGATAATAAAGTCCCTTTAAGGCAGGAGTGTCCGAACTCGGTCCTGGAGGGCTGGTGTCCTGCACAGTTAGTCCCAACTTCCTTCAGCACATCTGCCTGAAGGTTTAATATACCAAGAAAGAGCTTGATTAGCTGGTTCAGGTGTGGTTTATTGGGGTTGGAACTAAACTTTGCAGGACACCGGCCCCACAGAACAGAGTTTGGACACCTCTTCTTTAAGGCAAGTCATTTCACTCAGCGGTCATCTTTGAAATGCCCCTCTGGCTGTATGATCAGGCATTATGTCTGCATGGGGAAACATCAAATCTACAAAACTGAATTTCATAGTAGGAATCAACAATAAAATAAAACAGCTGTCTCTTTAGTTTCATTTTCATAAACAACCAAATTACACAAACTCTGCGGAAACTCAGGCCTGGCCCGAGACTCTCCTCCAGAGAAATGTTAATCTATAGTCATCGATGATTGGCTCCTGTACTAGAAGGCGGGGCTTTATTCACCATTTAGCGATCGATGATTTGCTCCTGAAATAGTAGGCGGGGCTTTATTAACCATATTGATTGTTACACTTTTCTCCATTTAAAAAGATACGAGTGACACGTCCTGTGTATTCTAGAGTCTTTGTGTATACTCAGTTAAAATAGTCGGGTTAGAAATACCATAACATATAACCCAACTAGGTTAATATAGCACCTTCCCAACTATTTTAACCCAATTCATTCATTCATTTTCAGCTTAGTCCCTTTATTAATTTGGGGTTGCCACAGCGGAATGAACCGCCAACTTATCCAGCTCATTTTTTTACACAGCGGATGCCCTTCCAGCTGCAACCCATCTCTGGGAAACATCCTTACACACACATTCACACTCATACACTACAGACAATATAGCTGACCCAACTTACCTGTACAGCATGTCTTTGGACTGTGGGGGAAACAAGAGCACCTGGAGGAAACCCATGCCAACACGAGGAGAACATGCAAACTCCACACAGAAATGACAACTGACTCAGCCGAGGCTCGAACCAGCGACTTTCTTGCTGTGAGGCGACAGCACTGCCTACTGCAGCACTGCGTCGTCCTTTAACCCAGTGCATTAGGTTATTTTGATTAAATGTTATTTTTTCCATTCTGGTATTAATTATTACTATTGTTAATACTATTATAATTACTATTATTTCCACTACATTTTAAGTTCCAGACACAGCATTTTTATCCATTTAATATTGATAGGCCACAAAGTGCGTGTTTGTATCATCAATAATTAAGAGTGCTGGTGAAACGGATAAACAAAACACGACACGGAAAGGTCATTTGATAAAAATAAAAAAAACTGACGCAGGTAGGTCATGTGACCATGACAAAATGACGTAGTACGTCCAAATTCCATTCATACTTTTGACATTCATACTGTATGGAATGTACTTTTCTAACGGCCGAGTACTACGTTTATATTCAAATGTAGTACCTACTATGTAGTAGGCGGTTTCGGACGCAGCCACTGTCTTTCATAATATTAGTGAGACCCTTGTTTCAGTATGGTGTCATCCAACTGAAAGGAACGAATTGAGTAGGGGCGGGGCTTTCATTCCTTTTCATCAAATCAACCGTAAGAGAGGCGTGGCTAAGAATATTGTGGCTGAAGCATCATCAGAGGAGCCACTCCAGACGTTGATTAAAGATTACAGAACTACACTTTTTTCCTCAGTAGATTCACTTGCACGATTACCCGTTCACCTAAAGAACAACAATATGCGCTAGCAAAATAAACATTGTAAAATTTGATTTCACACGGACTTTAAAAGACTTTTGTCCACTCCGCCTTCCATGTTTTTTTGTCCCTATCAGCGCTCCATAATGAGCTCGTGACGTCGCGCGCGCCGGTGACGCAGAACTGCAGGCTCGCGCTGCTTAGAAACGAGCGACTCATTTACCTGGACTGAAGCCGCCGCGAGACGCACCCGCTCCCAAAATATCACTATTTCCCTCTTAGTAATCATCTTTTATATCACTATACTGCACTGACTAGAGTCTGCTGCACTGAGAGTGAGTATCTGATCGCTTTATATCGCTTTTAATGCTGTAATGATCCTGTCGCCTCACTTCTGCATCTGTCAGCAGCCTGAGGAGAGAACTCGTTCACACACACAGGCATTCTGAGCTTGGTGTTGTTTTTGGAGATCTGTTAATGTGTGTAATAAAATAATGTGCTGTTTTAGCGGTTTAAAAGAGTGTTTGAATGGGTTGTGGAGAGTTTTGTTGTTAGCCGGAGTTAGCTGAAGCTAGCCGGTGCGTTCCGTTACTCTGAAACACAAACTGCCGCCTAGAGATTAAACTCTAACGTTACATCTCCATTTCACTCCGTCTACTTGTCTTATTTGAAAAGAAGAGACATTTCCTGTGGTACAGTCAGCAATTAGTTTACATATTCTATTCGTCATGACCATTATAAATAAATATAAGATCAATTTCACAATTATCATTGTACTTTATTGAGGTATAGTTGGTTTTATAGACCATTTCAGTGTGGTAATGTCATTGGTCCGTGAACACTTTCTGCTTGTTATCATATATCATAACTGTAACAAGAGGAAATTCAATAATATTTTCATGTTAAAAAATTTGTAACATTTTTTTAAATCAATATGTGGACCTTTTTTGATTCTCGGAAGCTATGGAAAAATAGTCTATATTAGCATGTTGGTTTAGTGACACCTTGTGACACGCTCCCTATATTATTTATACCATTGTACTTTGAATATTGGGTCTAAAATCGCATTTAAGTAAGCCTTGAAAACTTACCACTATTTTATTTGACTGACTAAACAATGTACTTTGGTCGTTGGCTGCTAATAGGAGTTAACTATTTACAATTTTCAAACATTACTTTTCTGAAATTATATTATAAAGGAGAAAGAGTCCTAATGTGTGAATATAAAACCAACTTTACCTCAATTTGTACTTTTGTGCATTTTTAATCTCTGCATGAATATATGTTACTCTGAATGACCATGGATGACCAATATTCTTGATTCTGCCCAAACGTTTTCCTATAAAGGGGCAAAAAGCAAACTTGATTTAGGGCTGTGGGCCGAATATATACCAAACTGTATATATTAAATTTGCCATGAGTAATTTTCTAATTTATTTGGATATATTTAAAAATGGCGAGAAAAAGTTGCTTTAAATCATATTGACTAATGCACTATCATTTTTAACAGTTTATAATGAACTTATTACAATTAAACATAAACAATCCCATTTATAACACAAGTTCAATGCTGAATACACTAGTCATGCCTACACTAATCACTTGACACGTCTGTCAAGTGACACTAATTACATCTTAAAAGTCTGATTCATTTGCAGTATTTAACTGAATCATTTAGTTTTAGTTAGTTTTTTTGTAGCTTAGTAATAACACAAAGAATCGAAAGGGTATGTTAAATTCGAAATCACGATCACTGTCAAAGGCATGCACCCCAACCTCTTCCCCATCCTTCTCACTCTCTTTTTAGAAAGCATGGCAGGCTAAATCAAAGGTTACCATGGGCCAACTTTGGCCAGCAGGCCCTACTTTTGGCATGTCTGTTCTAGATTATAATTTATTAAAAAATCTAATTATTTTACCCATGTTTTAACATTTTATTTTTAATAAAAAAATTATTTGTAACGTTAAAGACTGCTGTTGTATTTAATTGGCTTTCTATATATATATAAAATATAGACATAAAAAATAGACATCTTTGCATTAAATAAATGACAATGTCAAGGAAAGCTGCTTTTAAATGTAATGGCATTGTTAAATTAACTTTATGTAATGCTTTGTGGTTTTGGCATTACTTTTTTAGATCCTGACTCTTAACTCAAAGGCTTGTTTGCTTGTAATCATATATTTTGTAAAAAAAAAAAAAAAACGTATATTTTTGACAAATGTACAGCCCTTTTACACTGACGTTAACACATGATGTAAATACACCTCAGGCTGAAGGAAATGTTGTTTATGCCTAAACAGGTTGAGCAAACCTTTCTGGATTACACGACTAGGAATTGGATGCAGTAAAATGTTAGTGTTTATTCATTTAAAGGGACACTGAAACTGATTTTGTGCAAGTGAGATGAGTAAATAAACTTTTTACATTAGAGCTTTAATGTAATGTGGGTATCATGTTTACACTAGTAACGATTTCTTTCAATTCAGGTTCAGGAGAGCAGTCGCTCAATAAAGAATCAGGTGTTATTTTTGTTAAAAAATAACTTGGAATGAAAAAATTATGTTACCTTACTTGTTAATTGTAGAACGTAATCTGATTCCATTGCTTAAGTTACCTGTAATGCAATACACCCTACACCCATCTAAACAAGTGTATTATAGTTCCAATAAATCTTTAAAGGGACAGTTCACCCAAAACTGAAAATGTACACACTATTTATTTATTCACACAATTTCTTTATTGTTTTGAACACAAAAGGAGATGTTTTGATGGCTCAACGGTTTTAGTTTAGTTTAGTTAGTTTTAGTTTCAACTTTATTGCCCATTCTGCTTGACAGTGACACAGAAAGGAAATTTGTCTTCAACACTGGATTTAAGAAAACAAATACAAACATACAACAACCACACAAAAACAACACTCATCAAGACAGCAACATAAGTTAAAAGTTTAAGATTTCTTCATTCACACACATAGTAGGAAAAACAAATACTATGGAAAGCAATAGTTACTGGTTTCCAGCATTCTTCTGTAAATCTTCTTTTGTATTCATCAGAAGAAACAAAGAAAGATGAACAGGTTTGGAATAAGTAACAGGTGAGTAAACAATGACAGAATCCACACTTTTGTGAGAACTTTCACTTTAAAGCAGAGGAATTCAGGACACACACATGCTCAGGATTTCTTTTTTGTGTGTGTAGGGCTGCGCTACATTGGAAAACTCTGGCTTTGCAATATAAGCAAATATAAGTTTTTCTGCTATATTAATACAACTTCACCAGATGAATTGAATAGCTCTTCTTGGAATTCATTCAGTAATTTGGATTAATTTTGATGATTTTGTAGTGCAGGCAATCATGCATAAAATATAATAACCAAATTTAAAGTATACTTACTTTAAATTGCTTTATTGCTTGCTTATTTATTTAATTGCTTGCATATGTATATATGTAAGCAAGTAAATAAATAAGCAAGCAATAAAATAAGTTAGGGTAAGGATTTAAAAGAAATAGAGTAAAGCAAAGAGAAAAGTCGAAAAAGTGCTTTATGATTTTCTTCAGAGTCTAACAGTATTTAGATACAGGAATTTAAGTAATTGAATTATTCAATAAAATAAATCTTTATTAAAGTTACAACCTAAATATACAATCATTTAACCAATTATAAAAGAAACATCAATCCCAGTTTGTGGATTTAAATCAGGTTTATTTTGTCCATACAGCCGTGAATACTAACGTGTGTCCTGTCACATTTGCATTGAAGAAACAGCACAAAGCTAAATGTACTGTATGTGTGAGTGTGCTCACAAACTTTGTAATGACATTGTGTGAGACTCATCATTGCAGAAAGGCTTGAATTAACTCCACAACAAATATATCAAATAACCTTTGGGAAAGTTTATAGTGTAGTAAGGGAGATATGCTTCATTCTTGTCTGTCACTGTATACTGTTTATCTACCTGAAGACTACTCTGACACGCACATGGAAACGGTGGGCGGGGAGAACCAGCTCATTAGCATTAAAGGCACAGGCAACAACAACTGCTACAATGTGCTCAGAGCTCAAATTTCTCATTCCCAGAAATGTATAATAAATAATCTGATGAGTGTTTTAGGCTGAAACTGTACAGACACAAAATACGTATCATAAATCTTGATAAAGGTGTAAAATGTGAGTTTTTAAAACACAGACAGATGAAATAAGTTCACTCTATTATGGATAAACTTATCAGCGACCCCACAGATCCCAACTGTGGCTCCTGCTCAACTATAATCCAACATGTAAACTCAACATTGCATATCTTGTGATGTGACTATAGCAGACACATGCACATTGCCATATCCATGCTGAAACCATATATCATGTGCTGTGCAGCCCTAGCCAATTATTCACGTTTCTCATTTGGTGTTTTCTTTAGTTTCCTGGGACGAGCAGGACTTCAGTGGGGTAAAGGAGTTCAAGCACTTTCATTAGAGGAATACGTCCAGGATCTGTTGGATTTTGGGAGTTTTTGTTCTGCTGTTGGTTTGGCGAGGCGGTGGAGCTGTTTTAAAGACTGCGATGCATCGCTTAAGGACTTGCGCTGCTCGACTGCGGCCGCTCACAGCCTCTCAGAACGCTGCTAGTTTCTCACAACACAGGCCGGCGGTGGTGCACGGGGCCCGGAGGACGTTTCAGCCAATCAGGAACTACACGGCCCCTGTCACCGCCGAGCCTTTTCTCAATGGGACGAGCTCCAACTATTTGGAGGAGATGTATTACGCATGGCTGGAGGATCCCAAGAGCGTGCACAAGGTGAAGAATTCCTTTGTCATTTTTTAAATCTGATACGATGATTAAAATCCAGTCACAGTTTAAAACTCACTCACTCTGTTTCTTAATCGGCATAATGATCTATGCTAGAAATGAAATGTTTGATTGGGGTGTCAAAATTAATAGTTTCTTCAATACACTGGGATGCATATGCAGACCATTCGCAGACAAGTCTTCCGCTATTGGTTCAGTAGAAGATTATAACCTGTTGTTACATACTGACGTGATTAGAGCTAATCACAGACCTTTCTGTTGAGCACGTGAACACAATGACCAATCATAGATGTTTAAGATCTCGTTCCTGTTGTCCTGCTCCTGTCTTCTTCTGTGGATCTACTTGAGTTTTGTTTGATAGATTCAAAAGAGTGTTTTCTTCAGATCATATACAGTTGAAGCAGGAATTTTTCGCCCCCCTTTGATTTTTTTTCTTCTTCTTTTTTAAAATGTTTTCCAAATGATGTTTAACAGAGCAAGGAAATTTTCACAGCATGTCTAATAACATTTTGTCTTCTGGAGAAAGTCTTATTTGTTTTATTTCAGCTAGAAAAAAATCAGTTATTAACTTTTTAAACACCATTTTAAGGACAAAATTATTAGCCCCTTTAAGCAAATTGCTTTCAGACATTCTCCAGAACAAACCATCATTATACAATAACTTGACTAATTACCCTAACTTTACCCTAATTAACCTAGTGAAGCCTGTAAATGTCACTTTAAGCTGTATAGAAGTGTCTTGAGGAATATCTAGTCTAATATTATGTGCTGTCATCATTTAAAAAATAAAATAAATCAGTTATTAGAGATGAGTTATTAAAACTATTATGATTAGAAATGTGTTTAAAAAATCAGCTAATAATTCAGGGGGGCTAATAATTTTGACTTCAACTGTATCTGAATATCATTTTAAAAAATTGTATTCTTGAGATGACAAAATTGTGTTTTTGTCTAAATATAAGTTAAATGTAAAATTGTGCATGAAAAGCATCGTAGATGCACAAATATCAAGTTGAACCGAATCCATGAGTTGATAATCACAACAGAACCAAATCATGAGACCAGTGTTGCCTCTAGGCACCTTTTTCAAGTCAAGGTTTTAAAACCACCAAAATTTTCTGCTATGCCGCTTTTCTGCTATTTTTTAGGACAACAGCAGAAAAGATATCCAAAGATGGTGTTTTAAATTGTAAAGAAATCTGTGACAGCAATAGTCAATGATTCATTTTCATTATTCAGCCTAACATGTGTTCTGCTCCAAAATATTATAAATGATTTCAAAATAAAATACATTGTGTTCAAATGGGAAAACTTTTTGTTCATTATCCAGACATTTAAAAAGAATATATTTTAGAGCAGTGAGCACAATAACATGAAACTGTGATATTTTTATCCAAGGTTATCATATCGTCAGAATCTTAGCTCATGCTTAGTCGCTTCACACATTAATCATTAAAAGATTGTTGTATATATGTTAATGAGCAACGTGGACACACTCAGACTTCAATTTGTGTTAAAAGAGTCAGCATACTGCTGTAATTCACCCAAAAATCTATAAGTTCTGTCTTCATGTAAGGATGTAATATTATTATTGCGCCATTTCTTTTTACCATATGTTTGAGAAATAATAACAGCATACTCGTATTAACCGTTATTTTCCATCTACAGAATCGTGATCTTTATTATAAGCAAAAAAACACTCGTGATTCTTTTATCCTGAGTCGTCCAGCCTTAGTTCACACCCCTGATGTTTGCATTGTGGAGGATTAATCCATGCATGTGCTGCTGGAACATTGCTTCTCTGTGGTCTTTCATCACCGTGTAATAACTCACTCCGTCCTCTCAATTTGCTTTCTCATTATTTTGGTCTTCAAGTTTATTTGGAGGTGAAGTGGATAATAGTTTCAGTGTTAAGAGACATTCTCCCAATATTAAATATTTGGGAGAATGAGAATGTCATCATGTGCTCATCCTCATGTTATTATTTTGAGCTACACAAACACCAATCTTTATTTTCTTAATGTTTTATCATACACTTCATGTCTTTGAGCATGTTTAAAAGTGTTTAGGTGTAATCTAATGATTTTTATGCAAAGTTTATTTAAATGTTTTTTATTTTTATTTTGTTTTATTATTATAAGATGTATTAAATAATTTTTCAGGTTAAATATATTGCCAAATTTATCATGCAGAAGATCCAAAACACACAATTAGTAACGCTTTACAATAAAGTCTCATTAGTAAACAGTAGTTAATGCATTAAAATCAACAGTGAGAAATAAACACATCTATTTTTCACTATGTTAATGTTATTTAAAAACATATTACTTATCACTTGTTTAATAAAACATTTACAAATTTTGATTTTAATGATTCATTAAACAAATCTAAGAAAGGGACATTACCTAAGGTCATTAAAAGCTTTTGTAGTTTTCATTATGAGTTTAGTTAAAATAACTAATGTTAGCAAATGCAGCCGTGTTGGAGTGTTATTGAACAAAAAGCCTATAAATATTCAGAGCCTTTTCATTCAATATCTCAGCATGCTGTCAGCCAGATCAACATGTGAAAATATTCATGTTTAAGAAATGAATTATTCTGTGCTTTGGTGAACAACCACTGATATAAAAACACCTGAATATTATTAAACAACACTATTAAGTAATCATTGACTGTGGTTTGAAGTGTCCTCACAATGACAAGATAATATTTGTTCATTATATCACAATTGGGGCTGCACATTATGGAAAACATTGCAATAAATGCTGTGATATGAAATATGTTTCATTCATTTTCATTGAATTACTATTCATGAAGAATTCACTACAGAATGTTGGGGTGATTTTATAGAGGAGTACATCTGCATACATTATTATAACTAAAATGTTTAGGGGATTTTTATATTTGTCTGGTGTTTATTTAAAGATATATTTAATTTATATGCTTATATATTTATTAAATATATAAAAACTAATGTAAAATGACAGCTGGCGGTCTTCACTATAAAATGGTATTTAATTAATCCTTGTTCAAGCTTGTGTTTTAGTTTGTTGTGTCTGAATGCTTTAAACTTACTTTATCTGTTTAACCAAAAAACTCATTCAAATCCACAATGGTTTAACTTTGCCATTAATCTACAAACTCCTGGTCAACAATAATCCAAACTTGACATTGAAGATCCTGCAATGTGACTCTTGCAGATGTCTGATCACAATATATTTGTATTATTGACTATTTCCGCATGTCTTTTCACACTCGACTCAGACTGGTTGTGTGTTAAACCGGGCAGATTTATTTCTATTGTACACCACAGAGGCACATCTCTGATCTCCAAGGTTATGCTTGAGGACGTCCAGGTTTCGTAATGTGACTTTTCTCCTTCTCAGACAGTAATCTTAGCTTCGCAGGACTGTTATGCAAGACGTTTCCTTTCCATGTCACATCACATGCCCTTGTGTGGCTCTCAAAGTGGAACTAAAGGTTTTCTGGGAAATTGTGCTGAATGTGCTGTATCATAATCAAACACAGCAGGCCAGTGCAGCGGTCAAACCTGCTGCTGTGACTCTTTTAATTCTGTAGCTTTCCAGTGACATGAATGTAGATGCATCTGTAAACATTAGTGGCTCTTCATTCATGGTTTTTCAGATGAGGTGTGTAAAATACAAGCAAGTGGCTCTTCATATATGAAGGTCAAAGTCAGCTTTATTGTCATTGTTCTGCCACATGTACAGACAAACAAAGAAATGAAATGATGTTACTCTCAGATTCTGGGGGATTACAGATAACAAAAACTGTCTGTCTGTCTGTGTCCGTCTGTCCGTCCGTCTGTCTGTCTGTCTGTCCGTCTGTCCACTCGCCCGCCTATCTATCTGTCTGTCTGTCTGTCCGTCCGTCCGTCCGTCCGTCCGTCCGTCTGTCCACTCGCCCGCCTATCTATCTATCTGTCTGTCTGTCTGTCTGTCTGTCTGTCCGTCCGTCCACTCGCCCGCCTATCCATCTATCTATCTATCTATCTATCTATCTATCTATCTATCTATCTATCTATCTATCTATCTATCTATCTATCTATCTATCTATCTATCTATCTATCTATCTATCTATCTATCTATCTATCTATCTATCTATCTATCTATCTGTCTGTCTGTCTGTCTGTCTGTCTGTCTGTCTGTCTCTGTCCGTCCGTCCGTCCGTCTGTCTGTCCACTCGCCCGCCTATCTATCTATCTATCTATCTATCTATCTATCTATCTATCTATCTATCTATCTATCTATCTATCTATCTATCTGTCAATCTGTCTGTCCGTCCGTCCGTCCGTCTGTCTGTCCACTCGCCCGCCTATCTATCTATCTATCTATCTATCTATCTATCTATCTATCTATCTATCTATCTATCTATCTATCTATCTATCTATCTATCTATCTATCTATCTATCTATCTATCTATCTATCTATCTATCTATCTGTCAATCTGTCTGTCCGTCCGTCCGTCCGTCCGTCTGTCTTTTTGTCTGTCTGTCTGTCCGTCCGTCCGTCTGTCCGTCCAATTCTTAATCTCAATCTGTTCATCTATCTGTCCGTATCCACCTAACTATCCGTCCGTCTATCCGTTTATCTATCTATCTATCTATCTATCTATCTATCTGTCCGTCCGTCCGTCCGTCCGTCCGTCCGTCCGTCCGTCCGTCCGTCCGTCCGTCCGTCCTTCCATCTATCTTAGTGCATCTGTGTGGATAACTTCTATCTGTCATCTGTCTATCCCTATCTTTCTATCCATCCGTCTTTGTATATGTATCAGTGTGTGTGCAACTCCAAAAGTGTCAGCAGATGCATGTGCTTTGATTAAATTGTTGTGAAATCTATGAAGAAGGTGCACACTACAGGCTTTCCTCATCTCATGTGTCCTGCTGCGAGACAATACGACACGCGCTCCCCGAATTTACCACACTGAGCTCTTTATCTCCTCAAAGCAGGAAAGCCTATTAGATGTTTACCAGGTCAGTCGGAGCTCCAGTGTGACTTCACTGTCACTGAATCACAGTGACCTCACATAAAGTCCTCATGTGCTGCTGTGCTGTAGAGCTGCTCTTCTTTTGAGTCTCTGCATGAACCGAAAGCTTTTCAGATGATTTATTATGCAATCAAACATTATGCTTATCAAATGCTGGACAAAGCAGTTTACAGAAGTTTGACCCCCTATCACAGTTTACGGGTTTCTCTCTCCAATTCCATGTTTTCAATGAATTAATAGCGTATTAGGCCAATAGTATGGATAAGGCGATATCTTATCATTTATAAAACGTCAACTCTTACTTTAAATTATCTTCATAACATCAGTTAAGTGTTTGAAGTCACTGCTTATTTAATTTATATTATTTTGAAAAGCTTGAATAGGCATTCAGGAGGAGGAGGGTTGAAGACCTCTGCTCTATTAAAACAAATTACATTGACATTAGGAGACTTGTTTCAAAATTGTATTCTGCCATCCAGTCCACCAAGGACCACCTGCTCCAGTTCTGGTATGTGGAGAGATTTTTGCTGGAGGAATCTTACCAGATAATTTATAACCCCCAAGTTAACATTCATGAAAACACGGTAGAAGGACAGGGGACAGTGCAGGAGGAAATGTGGAGAAGACTTTTGCATATTTTGGAGTTGCCCAGCCATTCAGTCATACTGGCAGGACGTAATGCAAGTGATACGAAATATTTTTTGGTGATGATGTGGACTTTTCTTTCAAAATAATTTACCAGGGAAATATTGCGGCCAACTTAACGGTAACAGACAAGCATTTATTAAAACTGCTTCTAGCAACCAGTAAGAAAACTGTGACTCGAAAGTGGCTACAACTAGAACCCCCTACAAAATCTGAATGGTTGGATATCATATCTAATGTTCAGAATATGGAGAGGATGACTTTTTCTTTAAAACTACAAATGGACAAATACCTGCAATATTGGTAGAAAGAAATTTCTATAATCTGATTTCTTTATGTATTTGTTAATGTGACCTGTAAGGAAATATGTAATAAGTTCCTATGTAAAAGTTTTTTTTTTGTTTATTTTAATCTATTATTTGTATTTTTTCCTTGTTTTCTTCCTTACAAAAAAAGAGAAATAAAAATAAAGTATAAAAAAAAATTTCAATTAAATTAAAAAAATAAAATTTATGTGTGTGTGTATAAACTTAATAAAATAAAATAAAAAATCAGGGTGTCTGCAGGGTCTTAAAAAATCTTGAATTAACTTAAATATAGTGCAATAATTTCAATCGGGGCTTAATTTCTTTGTTTACAGTGCATTCGAAAAGTATTTATAGCGCTTGACTTTTTCCACGTTTTTTATAATACAGCCTTATTCCAAAATGCATTAAATTGATTGATTTCCTGAACATTCTATACACAATCCTCCATAACGACAATGTGAAAAAAATGTTTTTGAAATTGTTGCAAATGTATTAAAAATAAAAGACCTGTAAAATTACATGTTCATCAGTATTCACAACGTTTGCTCAATACTCTGTTGATGCACCTTTGGCAGCAATAACAGCCTTGAGTCTTGTTGAATATGATGCACAGGCTCTGCACACCTGTCTTTGGAAATGTTTGCCCGTTCCTCTTTGCAGTACCTCTCAAGCTCTATCAGGTTGGATGGGAAGTGACGGTGTACAGCCATTTTCAGATCTCTCCAGAGATGTTCAATAGGATTTAGGTCTGGGCTCTGGCTGGGCCACTCAAGGACATTCACCGAGTTGTTGTTGTGCCACTGCATTGATATGTTGGTGGTGTGCTTTGGGTCATTGTCCTGCTGGAAGATGAAGCGTCGCCCCAGTCTGAGGTGGAGAGCACTCTTGTGCAGGTCTTCATTCAGGATGTCTCTGTACATCGCTGCATTCATCTTTCCCTCTATCCTGACTAGTCTTCCAGCTCCTGCTGCTGAAACACATCCCCACAGCATGATGCCAACACCACCATGCTTCACTGTAGGGATGCTGTTAGCCTGGTGATGAGCGCCGCCTGCTGTTCTCCAAAAGTAACGCCTGGCGTTCACTCCAAACAGTTCAGTTTGAGTCTCATCAGAGCAGAGAGTTTAGTTTCTGATGCTCTGAGAGTCCTTCAGATGCCTTTTGGCAAACTCCAAATAGTTTTATTTAGGCTAGAATAAATATTTTTTCAATAGTCTACAGAACAAACCATCATTATACAATATCTTGCCTAATTACCCTAACCTGCCTAGTTACCCTAATTACCCTAGTGAAGCCTTTAAATGTCACTTTAAGCTGTATAGAAGTGTCTTGAAGAATATCTAGTCTAATATAATTGACTGTCATCATGACAAAGAGAAAATAAATCAGTTATTAGAGATGAGTTATTAAAACTATCATGCTCAGAAATGTTTTGAAGAAATCTGCTCTCTGTTAAACAGAAAATGGGGAAAAAAATAAACAGGGGGTGAATAATTCTGACTTCAAATGTACCTGAGTTCAATTTAGAGCTTCTTGTCAAAGCCTGTGAATACTGATGTACATGTGATTTTTCTGCTTTTTTATTTTTGATAAATTTGCAACAATTTCAAAAACTCTTTTTCCACATTAGCATTATGGGGGATAGTGTGTAGAATGTACACTTTAAACCACAGGTGTCAAACTCAGTTCCTGGAGGGCCGCAGCTCTGCACAGTTTAGTTCCAACCCTAATTAAACACACCTGATCAAACTAATTGAGTCCTTCAGGCTTGTTTGAAACCTACAGGTAAGTGTGTTGGAGCAGGGTTGGAACTAAACTACAGTATGCAGGGCTTCCGCCCTCCAGGAATTGAGTTTGACACCCCTGCTATAAAGAATAAAAGCAGGTGAAAACAGACTTCTTAATTGTTTACAGCCACAGGTTGCTAACACAACAAACTTATTGTTTACTTATTCTCTTACTCTGTCTCTTACCTATTTCTCAACAGTCGTGGGACATCTTCTTCCGTAACGCTAACGCTGGCGTGGCTCCAGGTTCTGCCTACCAAAGTGTTCCTCCAATGGGGCTCTCAGGACTCTCTCAGTCGCAGGCGCTGATTGGAGCACAGCCCAATGTGGAGAAACTAGTGGAAGACCACCTGGCTGTGCAGTCCCTCATCAGAGCATATCAGGTATGAAGATGGAAATGAGGATTTAATCATGGAGATCTTCAGCTGCTGAGTTCATAGTTTTCTTCATTAATGTACACACAGCACCCCACATTCACAGAAAAACACAGAATTGTTGACATTTTTGCAGATTTGTTAAAAAACCCTGAAATATCACATGGGCCTAAGTATTCAGAGCCTTTCCTCAGTATTTAACTTTAGATCTAATCCAGCCGTGAGTCTTTTTGGGAAAGATGCAACAAGTTTTTCACAGCTGGATTTGGGGATCCTCCGCCATTCCTCCTTACAGATCCTCTCCAGTTCTGTCAGGATGGATGGTAAAGGTTTGTGGAAAGCCATTCTTAGGTCTCTTCAGAGATGCTCAATTGTGTTAAATTCGGGGCTCTGGGTGGGCCATTCAAGAACTGTTACTGAGTTGTTGTGAAGCCACTCCTTCATTATTTTACCTTTCTTATTTGCATTGTGAGCTGTAATGTCTTGTATAGACCGGTGTGTGGCTTTCCTAATCAAGTCCAGTCAGTATAATCAAACACAGCTGGACTGAAATGAAGGTGTAGATCCATCTCAAGGATGATCAGAAGAAACGAACAGCACCTGAGTGCACAGCAAAGGGTCTGAACACCTAGGCCCATGTGATATTTCAGCTTTTCTTTTTTAATAAATCTGCAGAAAGGTCAACGATGCTGTGTTTGTCTGTCAGTATGTGCTGCTGTGTGGATATTAATGAGGAAAACAATGCACTTAAATGATTTTAGCAAACGGCTACAACATAAAGAGTGGAACATTTACGGGGGTCTGAATACTGAATACACACTGTATATATATATATACACAACCCCAAATCAAAAGAGTTGGGACAGCTTTTAGAGTTGAGTCTGCGTGTAAGTCCTATTGCTTGTCCACAGGTCAGAGGTCATCATATTGCCAAACTCGACCCTTTGGGCATCAGTTGTGTAAATTTTGACAATGCCCCGATTACTGTGGGGCTCCATCAGTCCGGTGAGAACTGCTTGTGTTGTTGAGCACAGGGATGGGCGATATGCGTGAACAATTATAGCTCAATATTTTCTGCTGTTTGTTGCGATTAATTTATAATAAGTATTAAGTGGTAATAATTAAACTATTCAATAATAATTCAGAAGTTTCCTCTGAGAGACAAATAGTCCTTTTTTTTTATTTATTTATTATATTTCCCTTTTTTTATTGGATCGTTATTTTTAATAATTTTTCTTTATTTATTATATATATATGTAGTATATTAGACCCCCTAGTTTTTCGCAAATCTGCTATGGCTGAATTCTACGCAAAATCAACAATAAGTCACTAAATTTTGAGATCCTGCAAAATTCTTAATTAAACGCAAAATAACAATAAAATAATAATCTCAAACTTCCAGTTCTAAACCATTTAATCAAATTATATTTATTTCAGTTTGCATTTAATTGTTTCAGATGACTTATAGAGGTTGCTTACGCAGCGCACGGGATGTATTTGAGTGTCTCTCGAAAAATGACGTCTCACCTGTGCCCTTAAAATCCTGACAAGGGGGCCAGAATTGTTTTGCAGACGTGGATAAAGCGTGAATGATTTACATGTGAAGTCAATGCAAAGATGCCATTAGACATCATTCATTCATTCATTTTCTTTTCGGCTCAGTCCCTTTATAAATCTGGGGTCGCCACAGTGGAATGAACCGCCAACTTATCTGACACATTCTTCCGCAACAGATTCCCTTCCAGCAGCAACCCATCACTGGGATACATTCATTCACACTCATTCACACTCATACACTACGGACAATTTTTAGCTTACCCAATTCACCTGTGCCGCATGTCTTTGGACGTGTGGGGGAAACCGGAGCACCTGGAGGAAACCCACACCAACACGGGAAGAACATGTAAACTCTAGAAATACCAACTGACCCAGCCGAGGCTTGATCCAGCGACCTTCTTGCTGTGTGCCGTGAGCACTACCTACTGCGCCACCACGTCGCCACGATTAGACATCCTGCAGCGCAAATTGAGTGAATGACACTGCACGAATTGGGCGTTTGGGTGTTTAAAGCGCTTCAGACAAAAGAAAGTGTGAGCAAACATCTAACAAATGGAGCAGTGCAGACAGAAAAACAAGCAGCTTACAATAATGGAGATTGGTTCAAAGGACATTAGTCTCCTGTTGTTTAAAGCAGCTAATCAGGCTATTAGCAGATCTATTATATCAGAAACTTGCTTTGTTTACTAAAATTGCATTTGCGTTGTAAACCTAAATATAAGTAAAAAAGCTATTATTTTTATTTCAAGTTTTTAGCTACTAAAAATCAAAATAATTCCACATTCTGCCGATTTCTATACTAAATTATTTGCAGAAATATCAATGAATGTCACAGATGTTTGTCTGGCCTGTGTATCGCCCATCCCTAGTTGTGTGTGTGAGTGCGAGTGTGTTTTTCATTCAGTGTGTTAACATTGCTGTGTGTATGTTTCTCTGTTTTTCTGTGCTCTCTCTGCTGGTTTTCACTCTCGCTCTCACCTCCTCATCTGTCTGTTTGTTGGGTTATTGTCCTCCTTTCTCCTCTTCTTCTTCAATCTGTTGCTCTTGTTCCTGGACCTCCTGCAGATTCGCGGACACCACGTAGCGCAGCTGGATCCTCTGGGCATTTTGGATGCAGATCTCGATTCGTGCGTCCCTGCTGATATAATCACGTCCTCTGATAAACTCGGTGAGGTTTTGATATCAGGCATTGGAGTGATTTGAATCTGGCGTAATTGTTTTTGTGCCGCTGCTCATGTCCTCCATTCTTACCTGGAGCATGCATGTAGAGCTCTTTAGATATTTGCAGTGGGTAAAGTGCTGAGTGGTGTTTATGTGCAGTTTCAAATCATGTTTGCGTTAATTACAAACTTTCCCTGGGAATGTGTGATGTTAGCCTTGTTCTAAAAGTCTGTTCATTTATTGTTTATTTACACTTAAATCACAGACAGTTACTTATTACCTGTATTGTTTATTATAATTTAAGCAAACAATTTATATATGAATTTATATAATAAATATATACAATTTTCATAGAGTTATATAAAGTTAAATCTGGCATAACTATATATATATATATATATATATATGTATATATATATATATATATATATTAATAATTAATAAGAGTAATAATATATTAATAATATGAATTAATTATATAATATAATCTTAATAAATAATAAAATTAATAATATATTAATAATATGAATTAATAATAATAATATAATAACATTTATTTAATGTTTATATATGTGTGTGTGTCAATTGTAAATATGCATTTATTATATATTGTTAGTTATAATTTAAGTTATATTATATTATAATTTAATAATTTAAGTTATATTAAGTTATATAAGTTATAATTAGTTATAATTTAAGTAAAAATTTAGATATTAATTAAATATTTTTTTACTTACATTCATATATAAACGTAACATAAATCTAGCATATTTTTGAATATAATATTTATGATAATTATTTATGGATTATTTATAATATTACAAATAATATTTATTTTAGTTTGCACCCTACCTGCACACATACAGGCGTCTGGCTTTGCCCACTGTAAATGCTGTTTCCTCATTTTATTGTATGTCACTCTTGACATCAGTAGTGTTGATCAGTGAAGCGCTCGCCTTGTCTAGTGTGATGTTGTAGTTCCTCTTTCTCTCTGCAGATTGTCTTTTTCATATCCTCCCATAGAGACTCTTATATTGCACTGGTAATTTACAGGCTGTTGTTTGCTTCTCTGTGTGCTGTGATTGGCACTTGCTTTATTTCCCATTGCAGTGTGCACATACTGTGTGTTTGTTTGCATGTACACACATTCAGCAGATATAATTGAAAACTTTATCAAGGATGAGCCACCGTTGCACATTTAGCATGCTGAGGAAGATTGTGGTTAGTTTACTCTAAAAACAATTAACGTTGCTATTTCAGAAATGTGAACTGTCAAGATGACTTGTCTACCTAGTTTCCACAGTATAAATATTTAAATAATTAACTTTTATGTTAAATAGTTTATGATGTCTTGTCAAAACAAAGGTACTTTGAGGCTAATTTATGCTTCTGCGTCAATTATGCGCATATGCTTCGTGCAGCACATAGCCCTTGCTGTCGGTGACGCTGACGCGGACCTCTCCAAAAATGTAACTACACGTCGCAACGATGCATATCACAAGCTCGGCTCTGTGATTCGTTGTAGCACTGACGAGTGGGGGTGGGGGAGAGAGCTGTGCATACCCAATGTGTGGAGTCCTGTGAATGAGCTCTAAATGGAAACTCTTGTTTTGTGTTTACCTTATGATTAAAGTTGTTGCATGTCCGCCGATTCCCGCCTCAAAATGAGCGAGTTTGAGATACTTGTATATTAAGGTAGCGTTCAGAAAAAAAACAAAAAAAGCAAAGTAACTCGACACAGAGGAAAAAACCTGCTGACAGCTAGCGCTTCGAAAGTGTAATTGCAGAGCAACACAAACAGCGTGCATAAGTATGAATGCGCGGCAACGCGCAGGGCATGTGCCGTGGGTCACGCCGATCACTCGACCAAGAAGTGTAAATCAGGCTTTATTAGGGTCGACTCAGAATCGTCTCAAAGTGTTGACTCTGAATCGCCTCGAAGGGTTGAATCTAAATTGCCTTGTATGGGTCGACTCAGATCGCCTCATATAGGTTGACTCTAAATCACCTCATCCAGGTTGACTCTGAATCACCTTATATGGGTCTACTCCGAATCGCCTTCAAGGAGTCAACTCTGAATTGGTTGGAAAGTTTTACTCTGAATTGCCTCGAAGGGTGGACTCGGATTCGCCTCGAAGGGTGGACCGCATCGCCTGCAAGGGTCGACTCTGAATCGCCTGCAAGGGTCGACTCTGAATCGCCTGCATGGGTCGACTCTGAATCGCCTGCAAGGGTCAACTCTGAAAAGCCTGCAAGGGTCGACTCTGAATCGCCTGCAAGGGTCGACTCTGAATCGCCTGCAAGGGTCGACTCTGAATCGCCTGCAATGGTCGACTCTGAATCGCCTGCAAGTGTCGACTCTGAATGGCCTGCAAGGGTCGACTCTGAATGGCCTGCAAGGGTCGACTCTGAATGGCCTGTAAGAGTCGACTCTGAATCGCCTACATGGGTCAACTCTGAATCGCCTGTAAGGGTCCACTCTGAATCACCTGCAAGGGTCCACTCTGAATCGCCTGCAAGGGTCTACCTTGAATCGTCGTGAAGAGTCGCCAATGAATCGCCTGCAAGGGTCTACTCTGTATCGCCTACAAGGGTCGACTCTGTATCGCCTGCAAGGGTCGACTCTGTATCGCCTGTAAGGGTCGACTCTGAATCGCCTTCAAGGGTCAACTTTAAATCACCTCTAATGGTCGACTCTGAATTGGTTGGAAGGGTCTACTCTGAATTGCTCCACAGGGCTGTTCTCAGCCCACTCCTGTACTCCCTGTACACACATGACTGTACAGCCAAACACAGCTCCAACGTCATCGTTAAAATTGCTGATGACTCAACAGTGGTGGGCCTAATTACAGATAATGATGAGACGACCTACAGAGAGGAGGTGCACACTCTGACGTAGTGGTGTGAGGAAAACCACCTCTCACTCAACATTAGCAAAACCAAGGACCTGGTGGTGGATTTCAGGAGAGAGAAGAGAGAACACACCCCCATCACCATCAACGGGACGGCAGTGGAGGGAGTCAGCACTTTTAAGTTTCTTGAAGTCCACATCGCTGAGGATTTGACATGGACTGCTTACACAGACACGGTGCTGAGGAAGGCACAACAACGCCTCTTCTTCCTCAGGTGTCTTAGGAGGTTTGGAATGAGCCCCCACATCCTTCGCTAGTTCTACACCTGCACTGTGGAGAGCATCCTGTCTGGCTGTTTCACGACCTGGTATGGAAATAGCACCAGCAGCAATCGCAAAGGCCTACATAGGACTGTGCGAACTGCTGGAAGCGTAGTAGGAGGTGAGCTTCCCTCCCTCCAGGACATCTACACCAGGCGATGCATGAGGAAAGCCAAGAGAATTATCAGTGACTCCAGCCACCCAAGCCATAGACTTTTCTCTCTGCTACCCTCAGGCAGACAGTTCTGCAGCATCCGATCACGCACCAGCCGGCTGAAGCTTCTTCCCTCAGACTATCAGGCTGATGAACACTTCATGACTGTACAGTCACCACACACAGACTCTTCCATACCCCTCACTGCACACCATCAATATGTAGCATGCACTGCACTTTAACCAATCCATACTTGAAACAACACTATATACAACTATGTGGACACCTATTCATTGTACATATCGCTGTCAATTTTACACTGTCGTTGTATTTGCACTGTCTGCATTTTGCACCGTCTGTATTTTGTACCGTCTGTATTTTGCACCGTCTGTATTTCGCACGGTCTGTATTTTGCACTGTCGTTGTATTTGCACTATTTGTATTTTGTACTGTCTGGAGCCAGCACCTAAGCTTTTTACTCATCTTAGCACACGTGCTGCTGATGATGTGACAATAAAAGTGATTTGATTTGATTTGACTCTTAATTGGTTGGAAGGGTCAATTCTGTCTTGGTTGGAAGGGTCAACTCTAAATTGGTTGGAAGGGTCGGCTCTGAATCGGTTGGATAGGTCTACTCTAAATTGATTGGAAGGGTCTTCTCTGAATCGGTTGGATGGGTCGACTCTGACTTGGTTGGAAGGGTCAACTCTAAATCGTTTGGAAGGGTCGGCTCTGAATCGGTTGGATAGGTCTACTCTAAATTGATTGGAAGGGTCAACTCTGAATCGGTTGGAAGGGTTGACTCTGACTTGGTTGGAAGGGTCTACTCTGAATCGGTTGGAAGGGTCGGCTCTGAATCGGTTGGAAGGGTCGACTCTAAATTGATTGGAAGGGTCTTTGAATCGGTTGGAAGGGTTGACTCTGACTTGGTTGGATAGGTCTACTCTAAATTGATTGGAAGGGTCGACTCTGACTTGGTTGGAAGGGTCGGCTCTGAATCGGTTGGATAGGTCTACTCTAAATTGATTGGAAGGGTCGACTCTGACTTGGTTGGAAGGGTCGGCTCTGAATCGGTTGGATAGGTCTACTCTAAATTGATTGGAAGGGTCAACTCTGACTTGGTTGGAAGGGTCGGCTCTGAATCGGTTGGATAGATCTACTCTAAATTGATTGGAAGGGTCTACTCTGACTTGGTTGGAAGGGTCGACTCTGAATTGGTTGGAAGGGTCGGCTCTGAATCGGTTGGATAGGTCTACTCTAAATTGATTGGAAGGGTCAACTCTGACTTGGTTGGAAGGGTCGGCTCTGAATCGGTTGGATAGGTCTACTCTAAATTGATTGGAAGGGTCTACTCTGACTTGGTTGGAAGGGTCGACTCTGACTTGGTTGGAAAGGTCGACTCTGAATTGGTTGGATAGGTTTACTCTGAATAGGTTGGAAGGGTCAACTCTGAATGGTCTCAAAGAGTTGACTATGAATCGCCTGGAGGGGTGGACCCCCGAATCATTTGGAAGGGTCGACTCCGAAGAGTTTGCCCAGAGTTTTCTGAATTGTATGCATTTAAATCTGTTGTAGATTTAATCTGCTTGTATCTGCTCATACAAATTAGGAAAAATATTACAGTAGACAATGCATTTTGTGATTCCATTAAATAAATGATAGAGCATACTTTATAATGGTCGATTTTTAGTGCACAGCCCTATTGCTACTCATTATAAAACTGTTTTAGCAGTGCAATACTGCAGCAAACCTAAATAAAAGTGTGAAAAACATTGAGATTTATTTTCAGCATCCAGACAGCTTTGCCTCTTCAGATCTCTTTGTTCTAAGAGTAAAGCAGGCGAGTGATATTTTACAGCCTTTATGAATGTGGCAGGCTGATTGTTAGAGAGTTTCTGTGTACGGTGAGTGAGTTTCTCTCTGTACGCCGCATTGCTCTACCTCTAATTCAGTGGAAACGCTGCGCTCAGGGCTTTTCCTCAGAACAACTCACAGGTTCAGTTCATGTCAGGGTGTTGCGTGTATAACATTAGACAGACTGCTGTGCTTACTTTTATGTGTTTTTTTAAATCAATTTTAATATTATTATTTTAAAATGTGTATGTACACATAACTACAGCCAGCTTATTTTAACACATTATTTATTATATGTTGCTAAGAAATGTCTTATTTGAATTTTTCGATGAGGCAAGTGAAAGAAAAAGTCAGGGCATTTAGCCCTGTATAAGTCAGATTTTTCAGTCATTATGGTCTTAAAAAGATCTATTAAAGTCTTACATTTGACTCGCTGAAATCAGAAACCCTGTAGTCTGACCCGGTATCAAAAATGCATTTATGCAACTCTGCTTGGCACTGCCATTCTGCTCTTCACTGGATCTCAGCTGGCATATGTGGAGGTTTCCCTCAATACCCTTGCCTTGGGTCTGTTTCTTCCATAATATCCTGATCCTCACAGACGGTCAGCTTTAGCCTCGATGCTCCAGCTTTAGGCTTTGACTTTAGGAAGATTCTCCCAAAGTCACCTTTGCTTGATTCCAGTTCATAATGTTTCCGGTTAAAGCTCAGGTGAAGTGCTTTAAAATCTGCATTTTAATTTCGATGTTTAAACATGCAATATTAAAACATGCACACACACAAGTCCCACACACACACACACTGAAGGTTGAACACCATATCTGACGTGGCCTGCAGTTTAGTTTAGTCTAGTTTTACTGGTGTTGCAGGATGTTTCACCGTGTTTACAGTACATGCCTGCAGAATCAAGGAGCACGTGTGTAGTTTGTGTGGACCAGTAAATATGAGAGCAAAGGTCAGAACAAACTGCAAATACGCTGCATTTCTTAATATTTCTGTCTTGTTTCCTGTCCAAATATCCAACAGTTCTGAAACCAAGAAGCATTTTCTTATTATTTTTCAAGCATATAGTCTTGTTTTCAGAAATAATGAGTGAAAATGAAGTGAGTTTTACCTTAAAGCAAGCAAATTAATCTTGTATTTCCTTTGAAATAATTTGCTTGTTGTGTTCGTCATGCATGTTCTGATCAATACGTTTCCATCTGTAGCATCTCCTTCATGTTTCCTCTTTAGTAATTCAATTTTGAACCCAAATCTTTCCTGTTTTTTCTGCTAACACTCCTCTCTCTTCTCATGTTCTGTGTGCATGATTGTGCCGTTTGTGTTAAATTATTCTTCTGAATCATAAAAATGGTTTCCGCTAACGCAGTTTTGTTTGTCTCTTGTGTTTACGTGTGTCGACTGCTGTTTTCTTGCGCTCCTCCTTCCCCATCCGTGTGTTTGCATGTCTGCTGTCAGGCTTCTACGGGCTGGAAGAAACGGATCTGGATAAAGTTTTCCGGCTTCCCACCACCACCTTCATCGGGGGCAGCGAAACTGCGCTTCCTCTCAGGGAAATCATTCACCGCTTAGAGGTACAAACACACACTTTTGCACAACTGAACCACTTATAATGCATTGCATGATATTGTTATTATGTTGACGTGAGAGCCAGCATACTGTATAGGATTTAAACATACACTCACCGGCCACTTTATTAGGAACTAGTACCAAGTTGGACCCCTTTTGCCTTCAGATCTGCTTTAATCCTTCATGTCAGAGATTCAACAAGCTACTGGAAATATTCCTCAGAGATTTTGCTCCATATTGTCATGATAGCATCACACAGTTGCTGCAGATTTGTCGGCTGCACATCCATGATGCCAATCTCCCGTTCCACCACATCCCAAAGCTGCTCTATTGGATTGAGCTCTGGTGACTGTGGAGGCCATTTGAGTACAGTGAACTCATCGTCATGTTCAAGAAACCAGTCTGAGATGATTGAGCTTTATGACATGCTGCGTTATCCTGCTGGAAGTAGCCATCAGAAGATGGAGACACTGTGCTCATAAAGGGATGGACATGGTCAGCAGCAATACTCAGGTAGGCTGTGGCGTTGATGCTCAATTGGTACTAATGGACCCAAAGAAAATCTCCCCCACACCATTACACCACCACCACCAGCCTGAACCGCTGATACAAGGCAGGATGATCCATGCTTTCATGCTGTTGATGCTAAATTCTGACCAGACCATCCGAATGTGACAGCAGAAATGGAGACTCATCAGAGCAGGCAACGTTTCTCCAATCTTCTATTGTCCAGTTTTTTGGCTGGCAGGCACAAGTATGCCACATTCAAAGTCAATTAAATCCTCTTTCTTCTCCATTCTGATGCTCGGTTTGAACTGCAGCAGATCATCTTGAGCATGTCTACATGCCGAAATGCAAGATGATAATGTGATTGGCTGATTAGAAATTTGCGTAAACGAGCAGTTGGACAGGTGTACCTAATAAAGTGGCCGATGAGTGTATTGTTGATATTATTTTGTCGTTTTGGACTAATTCTATCTTTCCTAGGACTTTAATGCTACACAGCTATGCTATGGGCTTTACATAAAGACCAGGGCCCAGTTGCATGAAAGTCCTTAAGCTAAGAAATTCTTTTAGTTTGAAAGTTAAGGGTAGCCTTAGTAAACCTTGGGTTGCAAGGAGAAAATCCCGAGGGTCAACTTAAGCAATTTAAGGCTACAATTAAGTATTTCCCCCTAATTGATCTCATCCCACAAGGGAAAACCAGCAGCATTCAGTAATGCATGATTATCTGCTGTCATGGCTTTACAATCAATAAATGTGATTATAATAGAAGTCAATGGAGCAAAAACAGCACCAACATCACCATAGGGGAGTCAGTTTGTTCAGTGTATTGTTGAGTTTTGGAAAAAAGTATTTCCCTAAGATAAGCTGTCAAAATAAGATTTGTCAGCACAAAGCATCACATTTGCTGACACACAGAGAAAGCTGAGGCCAAATGAAGACTCAAAATCAGCCCAGAGTGGATGAAAACGACCCAACAGCACACAAGGATTAAACAAAAACTTTATATATTCATAATTGAGATAATACAGTGTTTAGCAATTCATATTGTAAGAAAAGCTTCAGATTAATGTGACAGAGTTCATTTATGTTGTGTGATCAGCACGTGGCTTTATTATACTACAACAAACTCACATGCACTTTGATCAGAGGGGTTATAATGCAGTTCACATGTTTATATGCCAGTTTGTTGCAGTTAAAAGCAGCTTTTTTTTTGTGTATAGAAATACGAACATACATCTTAAAGCTGCAAGCAGCGATGATAGGGACCTCGCACCCGTGCTCACCGCCGCCTGGTGGCCTCAGGATGACAGAGAAGGGAGATAACATTAATTTAAGCCGATATATATAAATAACCTGAGAAAATCACAGAATTAAGCCAAACTTCCTCCTGTCAGCAGGTGGCGCTATAACTGTGACTCAAGATTAGCATTTAGATGCCTTCAGTAGAGGAATCTTATCAACCATGTGAATTATCAGGCAGATCGGACATTGTTTGGCTGAGTTATAGTAACTTCTTGATTCGTGGCGAAATGTCGAAGTTTGCGAGGCCGCCATGGACACGCCTTTCGACGAAAACTCTAGATCTTCGCAATTTAACATCGCCAAGGCCTTTATATGAGAAAATTTTTGTGTTGATCCGATAAAATCGCTAGGAGGAGTTAAAATACAACGCCTGGAAATGGTAAAAACGGCACTTTTTTGCCGCAGGAAGTTAAAAATATCCGACTTCCTGTTGGGTTTGAGATTTCGCTTCAAGAGACTTTTTTGTTGGTTTTGGCGTGTTTGATGTGTGTGCCCATTTTCGTCTGCGTGCGTGATTCGTAGCTCGGGGGCTCGTCCATCAAAAGTGCATAGGTGGCACTGTCGAGTTATTCTGCTATGCCCACTTCTGGAAACCCATAACAAAAGTAAATGTTCGCCACTTCTGAGGCGTGTGCAAAGTTTAGTGAATTTTCGGGCATGTTTACCCCCTCAAAATCGCAATTCATTCCGGAGAAGAAGATTAATAATAAGAAAAGGAGCAATTCCAATAGACCCTTTGCACCGGAGGTGCTCTGTCCCTAAAAATACAATAATATCCCTAACAAAAGTATTACATGTATAGATGTAAATTGAGTGTGCATGCCTGCTGTGTGTGCAGATGGCCTACTGTCAGCACATTGGTGTGGAATTCATGTTCATCAATGATCTGGAGCAGTGCCAGTGGATCCGGCAGAAGTTTGAGAAGCCCGGAGTGATGCAGTTTACTCTGGATGAGAAGAGGACACTGCTGGCCCGTATGGTGCGCTCCACCAGGTCTGTGTTCATGCAAAACTCAATTCACTCTGAAAGTACAGTTGTAGTAACTCTTTTGTATTTTAAATTCTTTTTCCAATATTTCCCAAATGATGTTGAACAGATTCAGGAATTTTTCACAGTATGTCGGATAAAATTTGTTCTTCTGGAAAAAAAGTCTTGTTTGCTTTATTTTGGCTAGAATAAAAGCAGTTTTAATGTTTTTAAAGCCATTTTAAGGTCAATATTATTAGCCCCCTTACACTATATTTGTTTTGGATTGTCTATAGAACAAACTGTTAAGAACCACTGTTATACAATGACTTGCCTAAATACCCTAACTTTTCCCTAATTACCCTAGTGAGGCCTTTACATGTCACTTTAAGCTGAACACTAGTGTCTTGAAGAATATCTAGTCTAATATTATTTACTGCCATCATGGAGAAGAGAAGTGAAATCAGTTGTAAGAGATGAGTTTTAAGACTTTTATGTTTGGAAATATGTTGAAAAAATCTTCTAAACAAAAAATGGGGAAAAAAATATACAGAGTGCTTAAAATTCAGGAAGGGTAATAATTCTGCCTTCAGCTGTATATTTCTATAGCACATTTAAAAACGATCGCTGTTGACCAAATGCTTCACAAAGTCAGAAAATAATCAACATAACATAAACACTGGATCATATTGAAACTCCACCCAAAACTTGACCCGAATGAGCCATTTATATAGTTTAGAAGCAGCCATAAACTGTAAAAAGCAAAATTGAGCAAAATCCCTTTATGTTTTGACATTGTAAAAGGTATATAACAACATCCTGTAAGTTTCACAACTCAACACTTTGTGGTTCCTCTAAAATCAGTTTCAAAAAATCTGACAGAATCTTTTTTCTTTTCTTTCTTTTTCTTGTTTTTGCTATTTCTGCACAGTATATCGTTTATAAACCGATAATAATAATAATAATTGCAGATTTTTGCGTAATGAATTAAAGGGGAGATAGTAAAGGAGCAAAATACTTTGATATAAATTAAAAATAATAATCTATTCAACTTTTGTTTTGGTTTGCAATGCAAATCTAACAGAGCACTTGTTTGTTAAACAAAGCTACACTAAGTCTCTCATATAATATGTTCTAAAAGACAGAAAATATTACTGTCTAAATAGGCAAGGCAGGTTTATTTATATTGCACATTTCATACATGGTGGCAATTTAAAGTGCTTTACAAAAACAGGAATAAAAGAGGACGTCTCCAACAGATTTGAGTTTTCACCTAAGGTCGAGAAGTTTACAGCTTTACAGCTCTAATTACGTGCTCCCCAATTTCAACTCCCTTCTGGGAGTAAATCAAACCACCCCTGATTTATGCCTCCTCTCGAATTATATCGCTTTAGCTAGCCAAATGTAATAAAAGGTCTTGATCTTAGCCAGAAGCCAGGGACTTGAACCCCTCCGCAACAGTTACCTGTGCCGAGTCATCGTCTCAGATTTATTGTAATTACGCTGCTATCCCACAGAGACAGACCTACGAGTATGGTGATGGCCCGAGTTTAATCTTTTAACTGCCCAATCAGATACAGTCTTTCCAAATTCCAAAACACCGGTGTGTCACAAATATCATCTAAATATTTGAGGATTAGTCTAAAACATTGCTGTAGGTAATATAAAAACTGAATAAATCTATATTATATACACACTTATATATTATATATAAATGTACATTCATTCATTCATACATTGATTAAATAGACTTTTATTCTGAATTTTGTGCAGCATGGTGTCTCAGTGGTTAGCGCTGTCGCCTCACAGCAAGAAGGTGTCTGGTCTGTGTTGGCGTGGGTTTTCGGGTGCTCCGGTTTCCCCCACAGCCCAAACACATGCGCTATAGGGGAACTGATCAACTAAATTGGCCGTAGTGTATGAGTGTGTGTGTATGGGTGTTTCCCAGTACTGGGTTGCAGCTGGAAGGGCATCCGCTGTGTAAAACATATGCTGGAATAGTTGGCGGTTCATTCCACTTTTCACAAAATGTCTCCTAAAAGCTCATCTGACCTCAGAGATCTCAAACTGACGCCTGCTCCGCCTAAGGTCACTGGAAAAATGTGATCGTGTCATTTGTTTACAGATTCCACTTGCGTTAAATGATGCAATAACACGCTTCTCAGTGTTTTAAAGGATGTTTGTGATGCTTTCTGTGCCGTGTGTAATGCTGCGGGACAGGTTTGAGGAGTTCCTGCAGAGGAAGTGGTCATCAGAGAAGCGTTTCGGCCTGGAGGGATGCGAATCTCTCATTCCTGCGCTCAAAACCATCATCGACAAATCCAGTGAGAACGGCGTGGAGAATGTCATCATGGGGATGCCGCACAGGTAGAAGATTTGAAGGTCTATTCACACAGGATTAGCATTAGCTGAGGACCAGCAGGCTGTTTGGTATTAAAGGGGAGCTATTGTGCTCCTGTTTTTGCTTGATGCTTCTGTCAGTCTATGTGGCTCCTGTCGCTGTTCATCTAAAACTCCACATCTATAATCCTCTTAGTCTATGCTGACATCATCTTCAGCAGCTCAAACACTCTAATGGCTAATGGACAGACGGCTGCTTCTCACTCAGGACTGCTGGAGATGCTAATGAGATGGAGAGATGCGCACTAGTGGGCGGGGCTTTCCCCCTCTGATGACACGTACAAAGGGAGAATGTCAATCAAAGTGTTTCATTCATCAAGTCTGATTACAACAAACACGTTGATCATTAGAGGCTGGAGATATTCACACACTGCTGACACACAACTGGATTTAAACCCCTTATAAATGTGATTTCTACATAATGGGTCCTCTTTAAAGTCTTTAAAGTGACATCAAAATGTACTATGCTTATTTTGCTAGCGCACATTGTTATTTTTTGGGTGAACTATTTCATCTGGGCAAGTTATTCCATTATAAAAAGTTTGTTTTGGGAATCTCCAGACACAATATTCTTAGCCACGCCCCTTTTACTGTTAGTTTGCTTTGAGGGAATTATGCAAAAAAGGAAGCCCCGCCCCCTACTCAATATTCAGTTTGAAGAACATCAACATCCTAAATTAAAAGTCTGAAGTCACAGGCTTCATTTATCCAGTGTGAAAGCATCACATGAAGCTCAGATACTTTCTAAATCACACAAGGTCACCAGCTAACACTAATCCCATGTGAATAGAGTTTAAGATGTGTTTTAAATGAGGTACATTCATGGTGCTGAAACATGTCTGTTCTGTCAGAGGCCGTCTGAATGTTCTTGCTAATGTGATCCGTAAGGAGCTGGAGCAGATCTTCTGCCAGTTTGACTCCAAGCTGGAAGCAGCAGACGAGGTGAGACAAACAGCCAGCGTTTCTCTTCAATTCCCTCAAACAGGGAAGCCGATTTCTGCCACAGAATCAAACAAATAGGCAAGGTAGCTTTATCTATCTTTCATCCATTTCATATCCTTTTTCATCATTTTTTTATTGTAAATATGTGTTTTTTCTGTTTATTTTATAGGCACAATATTTACAGACTCATCTGTTATTCTGTCTTCAGCTCAAAGAGATTTTAGCTTCAACTGCACATTCGATTTCCATCTATCTGTCATCTGTCAAGAGACGCCCCTTTTTGCCAATTGGCCAACATAGTAGTTTATGTTGTAGGGGTTGCACAGCCTAGTCAACTTTAATGCTCTGCCATGACACTTTTTGTGAAGTTTATTTATAAACTAATGTCGAGAGGATCACGTGCTTATGATTGCTTGCAGCTGGTCCTGCATTATTCAATTTATGATTGACCAATCAGACGATTCCTAAGCCACTATAAGTACCTTAAGTTCCATATCACAGCCATCTTCATTTTGAAGAATCCCCCCTTCCACCCCTACTCCTCCTCCTTTCCTAGATGGGTGGTGCGGTGGCCCAGTGGTACGCACTGTGGCCTCACAGCAAGAACATCACTGGTTCTAGTCATTACCAAGCCAGCTGATGTTTCTGTGCGGAGTTTAAACCTTCTCCCTGTGCTCACGTGGGTTTACCCCAGGTTCCCCGATTTCCTCCCACCGTCCAAAAACATGCAGCTTAAGTTAATTGACTAATCAGCACCATAGACATGCTCCTAGTCAGTAGTTATCTCTTAAGAGCGATCACTATCTGTTCATGAGCTACTACAGAATGGGAGTTCTCCAGATCTACCTGAGCTCAAACTCCCCTCTCGCCTTGCAAATGGGAGGAGCCCCGGGCTCGAGGATCTTAAGAGCTCAGGGCTCTCTCCCGGGACAGCATGCCAAACAAGCTTTATAATCAATCATCAGCTGAGTGTCAACTCTTAAAAAATTTATGTCAATTAGTAATGTGATTAATACACTTTAATTAAATTAGTAGTCATTAGCTATGTTTCCATCCACCTATTTTGTATTTTGCAAATGCGAATAAAAATACAGTTGGTGGAAACGCCGTGATGCGCATACATTTTGAAAATGCGCATAAAAAACGTATGCGCCTAACTGGGTAGGATAAACTTTTTATTCGATAAGAAAAGATGCGCATAAACTCCGATGGAAACACTTTTACCGCACAAACTCCAGCATGCCCATTAAAAAGGTCATGTGATTTTGTTAAAAGAGATCATGTGATGCTTAAAATGTGTGTGAATGGACAAAACGTCAGGCTGAGCACATTATAAACCATCTGAAATGTTGTTTTGGTCATTATAAAACACCTTACCATTTCAGTATTAGTGTTATTATATTAATAATGACCTCCAGAATCAACCCGGTCTCATTGTGGAAACGTAGCCCCGCGGACGTTTCTGCGGACCGCGATTTACGTCCCGGGAGGTACGTATTCGAGCGGTTTTTGTTTTCGCGGAGCCGTTCGCGCCCGCGCCGTTCTCATGCAAAAAAAGCCACCGGATCGGCCGACTCGGCCGCCCTCCTCTTCCTCCTCCTCCACCTCCTCCTTTCCTAAACCCGAGCGACGGTTCGCAAAAGCCGTCCAGAAAAAAAAAAAAAAAAAGCAAAAGCCCTCGTCTTCGATTTCGACCGCGTTTTCGGATCCCGCCGCGTTCTCGCCCTTATTTTTCGGATTCCGTTTTTCGTCTTACCTGATTTCCGGAACCGCTGTTCCCCGGACTCGATCCCGGTCGTCGTCCCCGCGGCCAGCTCCTCCTCCTCCGGGGCCTCCGCTCCGCCGATGTAACGCTGTGAGCTAAGCGGACCAATTGGTTGCATCAGGAAAGCCCTCCACTCGGAGGCGAGCCATCGGCCCCGCAGCGTTCGCTCGAAAAAAACTAAACACGGCCTTACGTACCTCCGGCCACGTAAATCGCGGTCTCCAGAAACGTCCGCGGGGCTACGTTTCCAGAATGAGCTTGGGTTGTCCAGAATCAAGAGCGTCTGACACCTTCAAACGCCACCGCGTGCTCACTGCTTGTCAGGATTGTCTTCTGAGGCGCATTAATTTAGAAAAGATTGATGCAGCTTCTCCTTCTGCAGCAAATGCAGGTTTTACTGTTGATATTTGGCGGCAGTTAATCAGGAAGTGACGATTTTGTTCGCTTTGACTCGCAGAATGGAAACAATGCTTCATTCGCACAACTTTTATACGATAATCCAGTGTTGCGCATAAAGTTTTTCACATTTTTGGATGGAAACATAGCTAATGATTATAATCTTTTAGTTTACACATTAATGGTAATATAATCAGACTATTGAATTATGTTTAGATTAGTGTTGTGCTTATTATTATTATTATTATTTGATGTATTATTTGTTACATATTAAATCAGGATAATCTTATGCCATAAAAATCTCTTCATTGTTTATCACCAGCAGCTTGTTTTTAAAGTGCATTGATGGACAGTTCATAATGTGCTGACACTGTTACTGTTAATGACTGATAGTGACACTGAATAAAGCACATCTGATGAGTCTAAAACAGTCACTGAAAATAAAGTATAATTAGCAAACATGAATTGTGAATGCATTGTGTAATCATCTGTACTGTAGTTACTGCAGTCTGATTATGAGTGTTTTGAAAAGTAGGGGGACCCAAAAACATGACTGCTATGTTTGATGTTTGTGATCCAGCTGTTCAATTCAATTATCTTTATTTGTATAGCACTTTTACAATGTAGATCGTGTCAAAGCAGCTTCACATTGAAGATTATAGTCAATTGGAACAGTCAGTTCAGTTTTAAAGTTAAAGTTTAGTTCAGTTCAGTGTGGTTTAATTATCACTACTGAGAGTCCAAACACTGAAGAGCAAATCCATCCATGCGCAGCTCTACAGATCCTGAACCATGCAAGCCAGTGAGGACAGCAGGGAGGGAAAAACTTCAGCTGTTGATGTTTGGTCTGGTTTTCCTCCAGGGCTCCGGTGATGTGAAGTATCATCTGGGCATGTACCACAGACGCATCAACCGCGTCACTGAGCGTCAGATCACACTGTCTCTGGTGGCCAATCCTTCACATCTGGAGGCTGTGGATCCTGTGGTGCAGGGAAAGACCAAGGCGGAGCAGTTCTACTGCGGGGACACAGACGGAAACAGGGTGCTTTTTACATTTGATTTACTTAACTTGTGTGTGTTCAGATAGACTCCTCTTTGGTTATTGACTGTTTTCGCTCCATTGACTTCCATTATAATCACATTTAATGTAATGGAATTCTTGCATTCTTGATTGCTGCTGGTTTTCTCTGATGGGATGAGCTGTCATGACTTTGCAATCAAAAATAGCATTATAATGGAAGTCAATGGAGCGAAAGCATCACCAAAGGGTCAATCTGAACAGTGTATTGAGTTTTTAAACATTTTCAACGCATTTTCCCAAAATATGTGTCTGAATAAGGTTTGTCAGCACAAAGCATCACATTTGCTGACACACAGAGAAAGCTGAGGCCAAATGAAGACTCAAAATCAGCCCAGAGTGGATGAAAACGACCCAACAGCACACAAGGGTTAAATGAGAAAAGCTGCACTTTGCATTAAAAGCACCAATATTTGGTTCAAGATTTGATCAATGATTTTTAATTACTGCATTAAGAAATAAATCGATAGTTTTTTATGTTAAATGCAGATGTGTTGTGATGGTGAATGTGTCAGTAACTGAGTGTGTTGTTGTGTGTGAAGGTGATGTCCATCCTTCTGCATGGAGACGCAGCCTTCGCCGGTCAGGGAATCGTCTACGAGACTTTCCACCTGAGCGACCTGCCCTCATACACCACACACGGCACCATACATGTGGTCGCAAACAACCAGGTGGGTTTCTCACACACAGCAGCACAAGAATTTGGGAACTCGTTGTTTAGTGCAGTTCGAAAGTTTGGAAAAAAATTTATGTTTTGCTCAACGAGGGTGCGTTTATTAGAGGAGAAATGCAGCAAGAATGACAGTATTGCTAAACATCACAATTTAAAATAACTAAATCATATTGTGATGCAGTGTCGCACTGTGGCCTCACAGCATGAAAGTTGCTGGTTTGAGCCTTGGCTAGGTCAGTTGGCGTTCTGTGTGGAGTTTGCATGTTCTCCCTGTGTTTCTGTGGGTTTCCTCTGGGTGCTCCAGTTACAGTCCAAACACATGCGCTATAAGGGAACTGATCAATTAAATTGGCCGTAGTGTATGAGTGTGTGCATGAAAAAGTGTGTATGGGTGTTTCCCAGTACGGGTTGTGGCTGGAAGGGCATCCGCTGTGTAATACATGCTGGAATAGTTGGCGGTTCATTCCGCTGTGGTGACCCCTGATAAATAAAGAGACAAAGCCGAAGGAAAATGGGAGAATGTTGAAATTTAGTTCATGTTGTGAGATCGCTGTATTTCATATATATGCATGTGTTTAATTCTGTTCTCTTCAGATCGGCTTCACGACGGACCCCCGTATGGCGCGCTCCTCGCCGTACCCCACCGATGTGGCCCGAGTGGTGAATGCACCCATCTTCCATGTGAACGCAGATGACCCGGAGGCCGTGATGTACGTGTGTAACGTGGCTGCAGAGTGGAGAGCCACCTTTCATAAAGACGTGGTGGTGGATCTGGTATGGCAGCTCTCTCTCTCTCTCTCTCTCTCTCTCTCTTTATATATACAGCTTATCAAAGTCTGGATGAATCAGAAGCTGAGACTTTTTTTTGTATTGTGCTGCAGTTCTTAGAGAAATGCAATATTGTATGAAAACTGGGTGTGGCTTGTTTTTTCTACTTTGAGCTGATTGGATGTAGTAAAGTAGGCGTGTTATTCAGATAGATGGGGAAAAGGGTGTGGGGAGAGTTATTACAGCCTAACAGACTCCTCCTCCTCACCATTTCTGTTTGTTGTAAACACTGACAGCTGGAGGGGCGTGGTTAAGTTTGTTAGCCACGCCCAATACCTCAGACAGACCTATTCTAAGAACTGAACTGAAAACAAACAGGATATTAATTTTAGATTACAAGGGCAAACGTTTTTTTTTCCTAATGACATGCACAGATGAATTGTCCAGCACAAAACTGCCAGTGTGAGCGGACTCTATTAATATGGGTAGTTTGATTTCATGTGGACTTTAAAGCCTGCCTGACTGGATTTTATTTCACTGTGTTGATGCTCTTCCAACTGAAACTGAATATTGAGTAGGGGGCGGGTTTTTCTTTTGTGCATCATTCCCACGTAGTAAACTAGCAGTATGAGGGGTGTGGTTAATCATTTTAATTTGCAGTTGCATAGAAATCCTCAGGTTGACGTCAACAGAAGCAACAAAAGTCTTTGATTTTAATATTTTTAACCCCTTAAAGGGATAGTTCAACCAGCACTAATCACTTACTCAGTATTTGCTCTCCCTTCACTTCTTATAAACCTTATCTGTATCTGTTGAACACAAAAGAAGATATTTTGAAGAATGTTGAAGACCATTAACCCTTGACCTCCTTAGTATTTGTATTTCCTGCTATGCAAGTCAATAGTTACAGGTTTCCAACATTCTTCAAAATATCCTCTTTAGTGTTCAGCAGAAGAAACATAACTTTATAACCGCTTGAGGGAAAATAAATGCTGAGTAAATTCTCATTTTTTTGTTGAACTATCCTTTTAAGGGTTAAAAATGTGTGTCAAATGTGCTTTGTGTTGATTTGAGTAATACAAAAAATTTACTTCATTAAAAATATCAGAAGCCAGAATTGTTCGCCCCCCTTTGAATTTTGTATTATTATTTTTAATTTTCCCCAAATTATGTTGATCAGAGCAAGGAAATTTTCACAGTGCGTCTGATATTATTTGTTCTTCTGGAGAAAGTCTTATTTGCGTTGTTTCCGCTAGATTAAAAGCAGTTTTAAAATTTTTAAAAGCCATTTTAAGGTCAAAATTATTAGCCCCTTTCAGCTATTTTTGTTTTTGATAGCCTACAGAACAAACCACTGTTATACAACTACCTGCCTAATTAGGCCCACCTGGAATCTGCGCGCGCAGAATTCCGTAGATTTTCCACAGATTTTTAGCCCATCATTAATTCTGTTTATTTATTTGAGTAAATGCGTGTAAATCTATATTTATTCAGTGTTCTAATTAATTTCAGTAATATTATTTACTAACGTGAAAATGTTCATCTGATTTATGTACAATGCAGTTTGTACAGTCATATTTTCTGTCTTTTAGTAGATCTATTATATGACAAACTTGCTTTATTTACCAAATAAAGTGAATCTAATTGAATTTGCATTGTAAACATTAAATAAAAGTTAAAAAGATATTATTTTTTATTTCATATATTGAGGTTTTAGTTATTATACTTCCAAAATAATCCGCAGATTTTTACCGAAATTCTCCGCAGAAATAGCAAAAATCGTCCGCAGATTCTGTCTGGCCCCACTAATTACCCTAACCTGCCTAGTTAACCTAATTACCCTAGTGAAGCCTTTAAACGTCACTTTAAGCTGAACACTACTGTCTTGAAGAATATCTAGTCTAATATTATGTGCTGTCACCATGACAAAGAGAAAATAGATCAGTTATTAGAGATGAGTTATTAACACTATTATAATTAGAAATGTGTTGAAGAAATCTTCTGTCAGGTATCACCTTTTGGAACACTGTAAGTACACTGTAATCCCGAATAAGTTGGCAAAACTCAAAAAATTTGAGGTAATCAGTCACGTCAAATTTTTTAATTTATGAAATTTTCTATTTTAAGTAAACAGAAACATCAAGTTTTGAGTTTGTTGTACTCATGCAGGAAACTTCTCCTAACTTAAAATACTCAAGTTACCCAGCTCAGATTTTAATAGTGTTTTTTAAAATTAACTTCTCCATCTTTAGTTTCACGCATGAAATAAGCCACAATTTTAATCTGTAAACCCCATAAATCTATCAAAATACATCTGTAATTTAAACAAACAGACAATACCATTTTTGACATTTATTTTAAAGAAAAAATGTCCAACAGTAACTTCAGTTTTGCCTCCTGTGCAATTACAAATGTCTTAAAACAATAAAAGCAATTAGACAGTAAGAGATTTAAAATAAACACTATTCTGAAATGAGTAAGGAATGCCCAAAATGCAAATACGATATCAAACATAAGAGCTTCAAGAAAAAAAGCTGTTAAATTGACTAAATTAAATAATAATACATCAATAAGAAGTATAAAACTTACAGTCTTGAGGCATTCATTAAAAATGAGAATAAGTGCACATTCTGTGAAGTAACTCCTGTTTAGTGTAAAAAAGTCACTGGCACAGTAACTATCAAATGGTAATATATATATATATATATATATATATATATATATATATATATATATATATATATATATATATATATATATATATATATTTTTTTTTTTTTTTTTTTTTTAATTTATTTTTTTTTTATTTTTTTCGAATTTGTAAACATTTTACTTACTGTAGTGGGAAGCAAGGCCGATCCGCCATCATGCAAAAAACGAGTGAAGCATGAGCATGTTCGTGGACCTGGATTACATCAGACATAAAATTACAGCGCTGAAATATTTTGAGTTAATGAAACTTTAAACAGACATTTTGTCTAAATTATACCAGCAAAATTGTTCACCTAACTTGAAAGATTTAATTTTTACAAACTCAAAAAAAAGAAAAAGTTCTAAATACTCATGAAGGGTAATTAAGATAAAAGAATTGTAATGATTTAAGTTAATAGAGCTCAGTTCAAAAGCATTAGGGTTTATAGTGTTGTACACTTATATATAGGCAAGGCAGGTTTATTTATATAGCACATTTCATACACAATGGTAATTCAAAGTGCTTTACAAGGAATAAAATTGATTAAAAACAGATTAAAATTTTTTAAAGGAATGAAAAGGAAAAGAGAGACATAATCGTGTGATCTGAGCTCATTCAGTAAAGGCACAGCTAAACAGATGTGTGTTCAGTGTTGATGTGCATGTGCCTAATGTTGGTGCACACGTATAGTAAAGTTGATGTGTATAGGGTGGACAGCCTTTATAGACTATACACTACATAAGCTGTCCACCCTATACACATCAACTTAACTGTCTGATTTTGATTGTAATGTATTAACATGCACCTTTTGTAAAGCTTACATAATAACCTATAATAATTGTGAAAAGCACCATGCAAATGAGACTGAACTGAATACGTTGTTGTGTACAGGTGTCCTACAGACGGAACGGCCACAACGAGATGGACGAGCCCATGTTTACTCAACCGCTGATGTACAAACAGATCAAGAAGCAGAAACCTGTTCTGCAGAAATATGCGGAGAAGCTGATCGCAGAAGGAGCTGTGACCAGACAGGAATACGAGGTCAGGACAAACCTGTTTTTACTATTTAACCCCTAAATGGTGCTTTGAAATGTGCATTTTTTAATTCGATGTTTGACGCAATCTCAGCTGAAACATGAAGAGAGGGTGGGACATAGTGTAGCTCCTCCTCCTTAAAAAAATAGCCAATAACGTGTTGTTTTTCTTACAGCTCTGCCAGTGAGAGTGGTTAAGCTCAAGCTCATTAAGTGAAAAGCCAATGAAAAGAAGGGGGCGGGGCATGTCAGACACTAGAGAGCATTTGATTGGTCGAAATATTTGATGATGAACTGAAGTATAAGGAGACGGCAAAAATCCTTGATCCATTAAGGCTGAAAAGACATACAGCAAACTGTGTTTTTATCTTCTAAATGTAAAATGTGATTGAGCCACAAAGAAAATGAATAAATGGTTTATATTCTACATAGGGGGCGTAGTGGAAGATCACCAATGTCACCTGAATGTCACCTGGTGGTCATGTGTTGTACTCCAGCCAAGCAAAATACAATGAAAGCTCATTTTTGGAATATAATTAATATATTTTTATAGATATGATATATTATATATTATATTATACATTTTTTTTAGATATTTAGCTTTGATTTTTCCTGTCAATTTTAGCCTTAAATAGATTTTGTAAAATACACATGTTATGTAATATATTAAAATACGCATTTATTATTTCAATTATTTCAGAAACATGAAGACGCCCACAACTTTTTTTTTTTAAACCTAGAATCTGACATGTGTCTTTTAAGTGTAATTTATTGTTTTCATGTCTGTTCAAAAAGTGGGAAGAGTTGAGGGGTTCAAGAATGACCTTTTGTTTGCAGGAGGAACCATGATAACATGTCAGAAATATCCTTGTAGACATATAATATCATGTGACAATGAAGACTAGAGTTTCAGTAAATGACATATTACTGCATGTTCAAATAGAGGACGGCTGTTTTAAATTGTGTTATAAACGAATGCTGTCTGTCTGTCTGTCTGTCTGTCTGTCTGTCTGTCTCTGTAGGAGGAAATCTCCAAGTATGATAAGATCTGTGAGGAGGCGTACAATCGCTCGAAAGACGAGAAGATCATGCACATCAAACACTGGCTCGACTCACCTTGGCCAGGTGTGTGTGTGTGTGTGTGTGTGTGAGTGTGTGTGTGTGAGAGAGAAAGAGAAAGTGTGTCAGAATGTGTGTCTCAATCAGAATGTGTATGTGTGTGCATGTCGCATGTGCAGTTTGTGTGTGCATGCGTGTGTGTGTGTCTGTGTGTATGTGAGTGTGCATATGTCTGTCAGTATGTCATTGTGGGTGTGTCAGAGTGTGTGTGCATGTATCTGAGTGTACACGTCTTTGTGTGTGTGTGCCAGGTTTGTGTGTGTGTGTGTGTGTTTTTCCGGTGTATGTGTGTGTGTGTGTGTGTGTGTTTTTTTCCTGTGTGTATGTTTTGTTTGTGTGTTTGTGTGTGTGTGTGTTTTTGTCCTGTGTGTATATATGTTTTGTGTGTGCGTGTGTGTGTGTTTTCCGGTGTGTGTGCGTGTGTGCGGACGTGTGTGTTTTTTTTTTTCCGGTGTGTGTGTGTTTTCTTTTCCTGTGTGTATATATGCTTTGTGTGTGCGTGTGTGTGTGCGCGCGTGTGTGTTTGTGTGTGTGTGTGTTTTCCGGTGTGTGTGCATGTGCATGTGTGTGCGCATGTGTGTGTTTGTTTTTGTTTGATTGACTGTGTGTGTGTGTGTGTGTGTTAGTGCATTGTATGTAAAGGAGCGTGTGTGTGTGTGTGTGTGTGTGTGTGTGTGTGTGTTAGTGCATTGTATGTAAAGGAGCGTGTGTGTGTGTGTGTGTTTAGGTTTAATGTCACCAAACAGTATTAAGACATTTATTTATTTATTTATTTATTTATTTATTTATTTATTTGTGCGTGCGTGTGTCTGTGTGTCTGTGCGTGTGTGTGTGTCTGTGCGTGCATGCGTGCGTGCATGTGTGCGTGTGTCTATACTCTCAGGTTTCTTCACTCTGGATGGTCAGCCGAAGACCATGAGCTGTCCGTCCACTGGCCTCAGTGAGGAAACTCTGGCGCACATCGGGCAGACGGCTTCATCCGTTCCTGTGGAGGATTTCACTATACATGGAGGTGTGTGTGTGTTACACGGCTGTCAGGAATACTGTATTCTGATTGGTCAGTTGTGGCATTTCCAGGTCTGTTATTGCCAGATAACACCCGCTGAATAACACAGACTCATATGGATGAACATCTTTACTTACGGTGATTCTCAGCTCCTGGATGAGTGTGTGTTATTTAGCGGGTGTTATCTGGCATTAGCAGAGCTTGGATTGTCACGACTGACCAATCCGAATCCAGTATTCCACACAGCCGTGTAATAATCTGCAATAACGACCTCCTGGATGTACTTTATCCCTTACTTAAGATGCTTGTAGCTCAGAAAAAGGCTCACGCCCCATCATCATTATTACCCAGAGTTCCCTCTGTTTGCAGGTCTGAGCCGTATCTTGAAGAGCCGGTCGCTGATGGTGCAGAACCGCTCTGTGGACTGGGCTCTGGGCGAATATATGGCGTTCGGTTCGCTGCTGAAGGAGGGCATTCATGTGCGGCTCAGCGGGCAGGACGTGGAAAGAGGAACATTCAGGTGACACCCATACACATATTACCACTGTATTGACCTTATTTCCTGGTGGGTAGCGCTGTCGCCTTACAGCAAGAAGGTCACTGGTTTGAGTCTCGGCTGAGTCAGTTGTCATTTCTGTGTGGAGTTTGCATGTTCTCCCCGTGTCGGCGTGGGTTTCCTCCGGGTGCTCCGGTTTTCCCCACAGTCCAAACACATGCGCTATAGGGGAACTGATCAACTAAACTAGCCATAGTGTATGAGTGTGTGTGTGTGTGTGAATGAGTGTGTATGGGTGTTTCCCAGTACTGGGTTGCATCTGGGAGAGCATCCGCTGTGTAAAACATATGCTGGAATAGTTGGCGGTTCATTCCCTGACAGATAAAGGGACTAAGCCGAAGGAAAATTTATGAATATCACAGTATAGTAGCATTTCCGTAAATTCATTCAGTTAATAGTTTGTATTGTTATTTGTTGTTAATTGTTTATATATCGAGCACATGTAAGAGCCTATTTCTGTATTTACATAATAAAGTACAGTATATACTCATAAATGTCCTCATGTGATCATATTTCACACTTTATTTAGAACTTCAGGGCAAATGTCTGATTAACTGTGTGGAAATATTAAATGGATATTAATAACATATAAAAAAACAGCCTCAGAGTAAAATTATGGCTAAATTAAATGCAAAATGTATTTTTTACACCATTTAACAAATTATAGAGCATAATATGAAATGCTAAACTTTTTTGTCTATATGATATACAGCGCTCGGCATAAGTGAGTACACCTCTTTTGAAAATTAATATGTTTATTGATTTCTCAGTCAATATAGATATAATATAGTGGTGCATTTAAACAAATCAGTTTCAATAAACCGTTATATTCATGAAAATGAGAGTTTGCTCACTATACATTTACGGGTATAAAGATAGTATATTTACATTCCAACCAGTTATAGCTAAAAATGTATATACAACCTACAGAATTGTATATATTTTTGTGTTTCTCTAGATTTATCCTGTTTATTTTAATTTCATTGAGTATTTTCCCCCAACATAATAATGTCACGTTTGTTAGCGTGATCAAAACAGGAAAACAAAAAGGTGCGGATCCAAGTGCAGATTTATTTACAGTGCATCAACATAAAACAAGGTGTTCAAATTAACAAATAAACGACAAAACCAGAAACTAAATCAGAGACACGGCTCAGGAATAACAAACAAACAACTAGACTTAACTAGAAAACAGACGACACAAATAAAACACGAACTAGACTAAGGCAAAATACAAGAACGAGATCAGAACAACAAACTCGGAATACTAGACTTACTGGGAATACTGGAACAAGAATGACATTGACGCGATGACATACAGTGGTGGCATGATGGAATATATAGTCCAGATTATCAACAGAAAACGGAGACAGCTGTGAATACAATCAGTGTATGTGTTCCGGTGTATGCGCGTGGTATGTATGGATTTGTAGTCTTTTTGGATGCTGTAGTTCCAACTAGGTGTCCGATGAACTACAGCACCCTCAGGTGGTCACTGACCCAGTCATGACAAATAATCAGTGTGTAGTAATGTTTGACCTGTGATCTTCAGTTGTTTTGTTAGATGAGTTGATCAGTTTTGTCTTTAGTACTGACTAATCTAATGTATCTGCACACATATATTACTGTAAGAGAGACATCTGTGTGGAGTGAACTTATTTATGCTGAACACTGCATGTTTCCGTCTTCAACTGTGTATGTTTATGGTATAATACGTTGTAAAGCTGAAATGTGAGCTTTATTTACTCTACAGCATGGGTCTCAAACTGGATTCCTGGAGGGCCGCAGCTTTGCACAGTTTCACCCCAACCCAAATCAAACACCGCTGATCAACTAATCAAGGTGTTCAAGACTACTAGAGACTATTCAGCAGGTGTGAGTTGGAGGTGATTCAAGCTAAACTATGCAGAGCTGCGGCCCTCCAGGAATTGAGTTTGAGACCACTGCTCTACAGTTTTGTCCAGATCTGCATATTTGGCGTCTGATGTTTTCTTTCCTCATACAGTCATCGGCATCACGTACTCCACGATCAGAATGTGGACAAGCGGACCTGCATCCCTATGAACTACATGGACCCTAACCAGGCGCCCTACACAGTGTGCAACAGCTCTCTGTCAGAATATGGAGTTCTCGGTGAGTGTAAACCGCAGAATCTGGGCTTTACACCTGAAAAAGCGTGACAGATTTTCAGTATTGGGGTCGTTACTTGAGAATAATAATTAGTTATGGTTACTGGTTACTTTCACAAATAGTAACGCATTTAATAACTAAATTAAATGTGACCCATTCTGCCGCTTTTACAAGATGTAAATGCGTCTCTGCTGTCTCTAGAGTTTGTGTGTTTGCGCTGAGAATAGCATACTGATACTGTTCTCCAGCTCTCTGAAACTGACCCTTTTAGACTTTGATCCTAATTGTGGTGTTTTGGTGACTGTCGCTTTAAATTCAAATTAGGTTTAAAAGGAAGGCGGAGCTACAGACGCCTGTATGTCACCAATCTAAAACTCCACATCTATAATCCTCTTAGTCTATGCTGACACTATCTTCAGCAGCTCAAACACTCTAATGGCTAATGGACAGACGGCTGCTTCTCACTCAGGGCTGCTGATTATGCTAATGAGATGGAGAGATGGGCATTAGTGGGCGGGGCTTTCCCCTTCAATCATCAAGTCTGATTAGAACAAACACAATTAATTTATGTTGACCATTAGATGCTGGAGATTTTCACACACTGCTGACACACAACTGGGGGTTTAAACCCTACATAAAAGAGATTTCTGTATAAATGCTCCCATTTAAGTAAATCGCTATCAATTTAACGCCGCATTTTATTGTCAGTAACCGTGTTGTAGTTATTACATTACATTATTATTGTCATTATTCCCATCACAGGTTTTGAGCTTGGCTTTGCTATGGCGAGTCCGAATGCTCTGGTGCTCTGGGAGGCTCAGTTTGGGGATTTCCACAACACTGCGCAGTGCATTATTGACCAGTTCATCTGCCCCGGCCAGGCCAAATGGGTTCGGCAGAACGGCATCGTGCTGCTGCTGCCACACGGCATGGAGGGCATGGTGAGGGTTTCTCCATTCTACAGCACACACTCAGCTAAAGGCAACAAGGGCTTTTTATTAAGGTTTTGAAGTCGTTATTTACAGAGTTTGAGAATTGCGGGGGTGTTTTTCTTTTTTTTTTTTGCAATTACAAGAATTGTTTTTTATTAATTTATTGTTATTTATTTATTTTTTGGAGTTACAGAGATTGCATTTATATGTACATTCATTTATTTATATATATTTTTTATGTTGTTTTTTTTGCAGTTACGGGTGTTACGGTTTATGTTTTTTGTCTGTTTATTTGTTTATTTGTTTTGCAGTTACAATTATTGTGATTTTGTTTTAAATTCAGTTTTTTTTGCAATTACGTGCACATAAATGTGTCATTTAAAGATGAGCTATAAATCATTATGTCATGACCAACACAATATAAGAGTGTTATATAATTATTTAAAATCTATCTTGCTTATGTTATTTCCTTTCTGTTGTTTCCAGGGCCCGGAGCACTCATCCGCCCGGCCTGAGAGATTCCTGCAGATGTGCAATGATGATCCTGATGTTTTCCCGGTACATGAACACTTAAACCAAACACTGTTTTCACTGTGGATATCATTGCAACTTAAAAGTCACCTGAAGCGCTTTTAAATTGATTATTTTGTTCAATATTTGAGGTAATTTCAGCTCAAACCTGAAGACGTGCAGGGCATATCATAGTCCCTCCCCTTTTTACTAGACCAGCCAATGAACTGCAAGCTTTGAATGTGAATATGTTCCAAATGACTGACTTTTTCCACAGGTTTGCAGTGCACTAGCTTATAGTATATTATATTAATATTGATAACCTTAACATTTTTGTTGTGATGAGGTTTTCTACACTTCCTCATTGTTTGTTTAAGGTGATGCAAATGATGACTGTTATTTAAAATAACACCTTTTTCATGACCTAAATGGTAATTTCTCTTCATCCTGAGATTAATGAATAGATGAAATGGTAAAAATAAGTGTATAATCAACCCTTACATCTAACAAAGTAGAAATGTGCATTATACAAAGAACAACTGAATGCAGAAGTAATTCTAAAACTTCATAATTTAAGCAAAATCTTGAAAAAAATATTAACCTGTAGATGATAAATAATACTAATAACACATTTTTTACTTGTATAGCATTTTTCCTACAGAACATGCAACTCAAAGTGCTTCACACACATAAAGGTACATTAAAAACAACTTCAATATCAGGTAAAATATAGAAAGAGATACAGAAAATAAACACAAAGTATAAGCAAACAGATGTAGTATGAATGTTATTTAAAAAATTGACCCAAAATTTTACACATTCAGTCATGTCATACTGGACATCATGTGCATTATAATTAATAAATTATATTAATAATAATAATCAGGACATAATGCATATACAGTTAAATTCAGAGTTATTAACTCCCCTGAAATATTCACCTTCCTGTTTATTTTTCCCCAATTTCTGTTTAACGGAGAGCAGATTTATTCAGCACATTTCTAATCATAACAGTGTTAATAACTCATCTCTAATAACTGGTTTATTTTATCTTTGTCATGATGACAGTCAATAATATTAGACTAGATATTCTTCAAGACACTTCTATACAGCTTAAAGTGACTTAAAGCTTTAAAGGCTTAACTAGGGTGATTAGGGTAACTAGGCAGGTTAACTAGTAATTAGGCAAGTCATTGTATAACAGTGGTTTGTTCTGTAGGCTACTGCTTAAAGGGGCTAATAATATTGACCCTAAAATGGCTTTTAAAAAATTAAGAACTGCTTTAATTCTAGCCTAAATAAAGCAAATAAGACTTTCTCCAGAAGAAAAAACATTATCAGACATACTGTGAAAATTTCCTGAATCTGTTCAACATCATTTAGGAAATAATTAAAAAAAGAAAAAAGTTAAGGGGGTGAATAATTCTGACTTCAACTGTATATGTATGTTTTTTCCCCACTTAAAGAGTTTAAAGGTCCTAAAGGTTAGGACTAATATATTGATGCCAACACCTAGAAAAACCTCAGTTCTGATTTTAACGTTCCACAGAAAATCACGGAGGACTTTGCGGTCCGGCAGCTGTATGACTGTAACTGGATCGTGGTGAACTGCTCCACTCCTGCAAACTACTTCCACGTGCTGCGCAGACAGATCCTGCTGCCCTTCAGAAAACCAGTAAGAGACTTTACACTGCAATGATCATCTATACAGGTTAATTTAATCAAGATTAACCCCGAAATATCAGCTATATAGCTTAAAGAGTCTCAAGTCAATGGTTATTAAGCCTTGTCAGGGCTCAACAATAAGGACTGCCCGATGGCCCGGGGCCAGTGTGTGAGATGCTCAGGACAGTAGACAGGATCGTTACTGGCCCAATAGAGCCACTGAAGCCCTGTCACTAAAGTTTAATTTGCCTGTTAACATTTGTCAATTGCGTGCAAATACAGTCAGAATTGAAAAGCAGTCTTTGCTTTTAAGCCTTCAAATGCTACCTTCTCGGTTCCTCTTATCTGATTGGATGTTGTGAGCATGTAAATTTTCCCGTAACAACCAGTACAGTAGAGACAGCAACATGTCGGCAACATCAAGTGATGATGCAAAAGCAAAACATTTGTTTCGAACGACTTGGAAGCAGACATTCACGAGGGTACACCATGACTAAAAAAAAAAAAAAGATGTTTTGTACAGTTTGCCGTCAATTTGGCAGGTCAGCCATCTTTTGTTTTGCAATAAAATACCTGCACATTTTGCTACTTTTGTTTGCAAAACACTTTTGCTCATTATACATTTATTATACAATTATTATTTTTTTTTTATATTTAAATTCAAGATTTACAAACATTTTGACACTTTTTTTATTTTTTATTTGTGGCTAAGAAATAGCTATTAACTCTTTTTTGGTAGGACCAGTGAAAGCATTGGCAGGGCAAGTTAAAATCTGAACCACTGGTCAGATCAGGCCAGTAAAAAAAATCCTTAGCGTTGAACCCTGCTTGTGTGTTTTGTTTGATGCCCATTCGATTCCTAAAAGACTTCATGTTGACTCACGGTGCATTAACTAATGTCATACCACGGCTGTCTGGAACACTCGATTCTGGTCAGTCGTGACATTCCAACCAAAGTTATTATAATTAATAAAAATAAACAAAAACATGTCAACTAGAATTGAAAATCATTTTGGTTAACTGAAATAAAAATAAAAACAAGAGTTTATTAATAAACGGGAACTGACTGAAACTGTATTGTGTTCATACTAACTCAAAACTAACTCTAATTATAGCAGAAACATACTTTGTTTTCATCTTTGTAAATATATTTAATACATAAGGCTACTGTATGCATTTCAGAAGTAAATCTGTTATCTTTGCGCTGCAGGTGTTTGAGCTGTACGGCACCTCAGAGTCTGTAATCCTAATGCTATTGACCAGATCAAGCCGATTTCCCTCCAGTCATCCTCGCTGTTGCTCCCGCAACTAAAAAACAACCACAGCAGACACTTACAAGTATTAATTTAACACATTTGTGCCCAATAATATGCTTTATTTTTGTATTAGGGATCGCGATCGCGAACGAATCGTTCTCTTTAACTGAATCTCCTAAGTGAACCTGTTGAACTAGTGAACCGAATTGAACTGAATCATTTGAAACGATTTGCGTTTCCAGTAAGCACTCTTTTCCACAAACTACTTGTTTTTTACATGCCTAATACCCCCCTCTGACTCTAAATAAATCAATATATACTGAGTTATTCACTTATTAAAACGTTACTCTGAGATCAGATTTGGGAAGTGGTGAACCGATAATACTGCGCATGCGTGATTCAGCAGATGGTGAACTGAACACAAGCACTACATGACAGCCTGCTGTGACTGAACTAACCTTGATCTGCAGCGCGGGTAAACTGAGGGCTTAAATGAGAGGATCTGGCCAAATGCAAGTTTACATCACAACTGAAAGTAGTAATGGAGTTTATTAAGTGAATCATGCTTCAGCTGGGTTGCAAAACGTAATTGTAAGAAATTTTTCAGATCATGGTGACGCTTAACTGACACAAATTATATTAGGGATAAAGTAGATCCAGAAGGTTGTTTTCTAAGGGCCTACTCACACTCTGCCATCCGTACCATGCCCAGGCCCGTTTCCCGGATCGTTTGAGAAGTGTGAGTGCGCTGAATCGGGCTCAAGCACGGTTCACTTGGCCGGCCCTGGCCTGGTTGGAAGAGGTGTGCCTGAGCGCGGTTCACTTGGGCGGTTCACGGTTCACCAAAACTGAAAGTGACTTTTAAGGGGTTGTTTCATATGGATTTATTAATCATTCTGACTGTTCAGTGAACGCAAACTGCCGTAGTTTATTAAAGACGCAAACTCCTCACAGCACAACAGCTGCACCTTCAGCAGACCTCCTCATTCCTGCAGCACAAGAGCTTTATGATTATGAGCGCCTAAAGTGGCGGATCTGGGGCCTCATGTACGAAGACTTGCGTGGAAATCTTACTAAAACATTGCGTATGCACAAAGCTGTAAATGTGCGTACGCAGAAAAAAATTCAGATGTATGAAACACTGCGTACGCCGAATCTCACGCATATTCTTTTGTACATCCGAATGAACGTGAAACTGAGCGCAACATGCACGAGCACAAAACCCCTCCCTGCCTCCTCCCCCGTATGAATATGCTAATGACTATGCTAATGGAAAAACCCAACGAAAAAGCAATGGCAAAATCAAACAAAAAGAGAAACTTTGAACAGAATGTGAATTGGAGGTGCTGCTTTCAGAGGTAGACCGGAGAAAAGCGGTGTTATTTGCAAGTTTGTTCTCCGGAATTAACAACAAAAGAAAAAAATAGAGTGGGAGAGTTTAGCTGATGCGGTTAACACAGTTGGGTCTGAACATCGCACTGAGTGCATTAAAAAAAAGAAATAGTCTGGTTTATATCTGTAAACTGTTGCAGGACGCTTAACAGTCTCAGTGGCGTTACTCGTAAGACGCATGTGATTGATACGTTCGAGCATGAACTCGGCTCAAATCCAGCGTCTGATGAACTCTTTCTTGTTTTTTCCCCGCTACATATCAGATTTTGCCAACTATTTATCACGAGAAAGACAAGTAGGAATCATCAATAAGTTCATATCAATAAGCATCATATTTTATTTGCACATTTATTGAATGGAAATGTTTCTGAGTCACGTATGCAAATTCATCTTCAGATAGTGTCTTTATAGCAATGTGCGTGCAGTAGATCGCTCAGATTACATTGGGAAAACAGGCGACCGCTGCAAATTGTGCTTTAATGTTTAGCTGGTCAACTGTATGGTATGGAAACCTTATATACCTGCTGAACCCGTCTCATACAGCTGCGATTGCAAGGCTCAGACACTTTGTAGAGAGGAATTTAACACAACTGCCTCTAGGAGTCGCCAATGGAAATAAAACAGACACGCACAAAAAATGTGCGTACGCCTGCCATAAAGCTGCCGTGGAGCTGCGCACATTCCCACGTTCAGTTTATTGTTAGTAAATCCAAACGTGAGCGATTCTGAGCGTGAAACCTGGCGTACGCAAAGTTTTTGTGCGTACGCAGCGTTGATACATGAGGCCCCAGATCTGTAATGTACTCATTTGTACCAAGTTCACTCGCGCCGTGGATAACTCCAACATTATAATGTCATCCCTAAGGACTGTATGCCGAAATATTGTCACTGCATATCAAACGACTGACACGATATAACTAGAGAAATCTCCACTGTGCTGAGCGAGAGCGCTCACTGAACAGCACAGCAGCGATGACATGAGCGTGCCGAGTCCCGATTGTGGTGTGACTGCGGACCGTCAGGGGAGATGGGAGGTGGGACAAGCGTGCTTTGGCCCGGTTTGAGGCAACTGTACCTTGTGCGAGTACAGTCTAAGGCTGCTTTCACACCTGTCAATCGATTCAGTTGTTCTGAAACAGAGATTACAAATGTTACATGGCTGCTCTTTGCTCTTGGAGCGGTTCACTTTCACACTGCAAAGTTTCTAATCGGACCAAAAGAGCTAAAACAAGTCACGTGTGAGTAAACTCTCCTCACATTGGTCAGTGTCAGGGTTTATTTTGCAGAGTCCCGCTCAGATGTTGAGAGGTGGTGGTTTGGTGGTGTTTGACAAGGTGCGCGCGACGTGTCTGAAGAGTGAGGAGAGATGCGGTGGGGAGGGGTGAGAAGGGTGCGTGACATAGCCTATTTGAGGACCGGGAGGGAGACGCGAGATTACCGGGAGATTATCATTTGTTTGCGGGCATCCGGGAGACTCGCGAAACTCGCCCTACTCATAATTCTCTCTTCATATAGCCGTAAGCCTATTACACATCCATAAAACACTGTGATATAATTGCGCTCGGATCGTATCACTTTCTCACTGCAATCAATCCGCTCCAGAGCCGAGACCACCTCATTCAAGCCCTCTAGGAGCGATTGATTTGGTGCGGATCTGAGAGCGATTGGTGGTTTCACATTTGACAAACGAACCGCGCTAACTGGGCAAACGAGACAGGTTCCCAAACAAAGGTGTAGGTGTGAAAGCACCCTCAGAATAAAGCCTGACCAGTTTATCAGCAGCCCGATGTAGAGCACTGCAGCTCTGTTGTAGAAGACTGAAGGGTTCATTCTGAGAAAACCACCGTCAGGATGAACTTTATCCTGCTTATTACACAGCTACCTACCACAAAACATTGTTCTCAGCCCTTATAATAGTTATAAAGCCCTTATAATATATGAATAGTTTATTCAATCTTTAATTAAACACAAAGCTGGCAGAAACGAGAGCAGCCGATGGAGTATACACTAACCTACTGTCACGACCCGGCTCAAAGGCAATGACAAGTTAAAGGGAGGACACACACCGGATGGATGTGGTACAACAAAATATTTATTTAAACATTAAAGAATAATCAAGTGCTCACTTTAGGTCAGCAAAATCAAATATTAACCAAAGCTAAAACAAAACATAACAAACAGGAGCAAAAGCACGGCTCCTCACAAGCCAACACTGCTGGCTTTTAATAGAGGGGTGTTATCATGCTCAGGTGTTATCAATTGAGCAGATGAGTTTCTGTCCTTCCCACTTTCGGCCGATCAGTGGGTTGGTCAAAGAGACTCGTCACGAGACTCAAACCTACGCATTATTAAACTGAAAGATGACGCAAACAAGCGAAGGGTGACAGTGGAGCAGACACATATGAATGTATATAGATGAACGCATTCACTGTTATTCATCGGTTGTCAGCTAGGAATAACAGAGCTTGAATGGCTTTTGTTTAATATAGTGTACTTATCTGAAAGGGTGTGTGTGAGGTCATCAACAAAGTGTTTATATTATTATGTGTGTGTGTGTGTGTGTGTGTGTGTGTGTGTGTGTGTGTGTGTGTGTGTGTGTGTGTGTGTGTGTGTTTGTGTGTGTGTGTTAACAGATATGATGCACTTTCAATCTCCTTCTGTTTTTCCACAGCTCATCATCTTCACACCGAAATCTCTGCTGCGCCACCCAGAGGCCAAGTCCAGCTTCGAGGAGATGCTGCCTGGTAAAATCCTGCCCTTCTGCTCTGATATTACGGCCCAGTCCAACACATAGTGATTGTGTGTGTGTGTGTGTGTGTGTGTGTGTGTGTGTGTGTGTGTGTGTGTGCGTGTGCGTGTGCGTGTGTGTGTGTGTGTGTGTCTGAACAGGCACACACTTCAGCCGGCTGATCCCAGAGCAGGGCAGTGCGTCTCAGAGCGCAGCAGGCGTTCAGCATCTGATCTTCTGCACTGGGAAAGTGTTTTATGATCTGCAGCGAGAGAGGAAGAGTCGAGGCCTGGAGGAGCGCGTGGCCATCAGCCGCATCGAGCAGGTCTGCAGCACCCTCATCTCTATTTACTCTCATATTCAATAGAGCATATTCGTTCACACACAAATTGCATTCAAACCCATCAACCTTCCAGCCACAACCCTGTACCGGGAAACACCCACACACACTCATACACTATTGCCAATTTAGTTTATCAAATCCCCTATAGCGCATGTGTTTGGACTGTGGGGAAAACTCCACTCAGAAATAACAACTGACCCAGCCGGGACTTAAACCAGTGACCTACTTGCTGTGAGGCAACATTGCTAACCACTGAGCCACCGTGACACCTCGCTGAAATCAGGATTTCTTTCCTAAATGTTATGTATGAGTTACTGTAGGTATGGTGTAGATGTATGTTGATGGTGTGCAGGGCTCGACAATAAGGACTGCCCGATGGCCCGGGGCCAGCGTGCAAGACACTCGGGCCAGTGTACAGAATGTTACTGGCCCGATCGGGCCAGTGCTGCCTTTTTGGCAGCCAGACCGAGCCAGAGCTGCGTGCTGCGACTGTCTGTCAATTGTGTGCAAATACAATCTTACAGTGCTTTCACACATAGACGTTTGTTTCGGAATCAGTCTCGTTTCCCCCGTTAGCGTGTTTTTTTGGCATATATCTAGCAGTTGCGCTCGCATCCGCGCCAAATCAATCAATCCGAGATCGCCTGAATGAGACTGTTTCTGTCCTATTGAGCGGATCGATTGTAGCGAGAAAACAAAACAATGCAACGAACTAACCACCCAGGCTATATTACAGTGTATTATGATTGTGTAATAGCCATATATACGGCTATATGACGAGAGAATGATGAGCTGGGCGAGATGTCATTCTTACCGGTAAATGCGAAAGTGAAAGCATGCTGAAATATTACCCAGAGCTGTTTGTCCAGCCTGATCTCAGTTTATCCATTAGGAAAATTGACCGAAGTTAATATCTGATCATTTTTCCATATTTTAATCATATAATATGTTGTGTTAGGCCTGTTGTTTTGTTCATTTCTGCACTGACAGCTCGAAAGAAAATCAACATTGATCTGCTTCGCGATCTGATGCAGTCTCGGTTCATCTGCTATGTCTCTCAATAATTTAAGCCTAAAATACAGAATTATAGTCAATGTTTCTTTAATAGATTGATTAATTCAATAGATCGATTTTTACAAAACCTGAAAATTGAAATGAGGCTCTGTATGAGAAAGTCTGACCTCGATTTATATTCGGTGACGATGTCTGTGGGTTGTTAAAATTAAAGTGTACATTTTCACTTATAAAATATTCTATACACAACTGGTCAAAAGTTTGGGGTCAGTGTGATTAAATATGTTAAACTAAGCTTCTTCTGCTCACCAGGGCTGCAATTATTTCATCATAAATACAAATTGTGAAATGTTGCACTATAAAATAACTGTTCAAAAGTAGTTTATCATATAATTTATTAATTTATTCCAGGGATTTTAAAGATGAAATTTCAGCTTCATTACTCCAGTCACATGATCCTTCAGAAATCACTAATATTAATTATTATTATATTTATAAATGGTAATAGTAATAAAATCAATAATGTCTGGAGTAACGATTTTATTTGAAACTACATACAATAAGATAGCAGTTATTTAAAATGTTGATAAATATTTAACAAACATTTTTTACATTTATAAATATAGCCTTGATGAACTGAAAATTTTCCTTAAAAAACATTTTAAAAATTACTGTAAATATATATATATATACAGAGTTATTAGCCCCCTTTTTTTTTTTTTTTTTTTGTTTTTTTTTAAATATTTCCTAAATGATGTTTAACAGAGCAAGGAAATGTTGATATTTTGTCTGATAATATTTTTTTTCTCTGAACAAAATCTTATTTGTTTTATTTCGGCTAGAATAAAAGCAGTTTTTTTTTTATGAACCATTTTAAGGTCAAATTTATTAGCCTCTTAAGCTAATTGTTTTTCAGACTGTCTCCAGAACAAACCATCATTATACAATAACTTGCCTAATTACCATAGCCTGTCTAGTTAACCTAATTAACCTCGTTAAGCCTTTAAATGTCACTTTAAGCTGTATAGAAGTGTCTTAAAGAATATCTAGTCTAATATTATTTACTGTCATCATGGCAAAGATGAAATAAATCATTTATTAGAGATGAGTTATTAAAACTATTATGTGCAGAAATGTGCTGAGAAAATCTGTTCTCTGTTAAATCGAAATTGGGGAAAAAATAAACAGGGGGGCGAATAATTTAGGAGGACTAATAATTCTGAAATCAAGTGTGTGTGTGTGTGTGTGTGTGTGTGTGTGTATATATCTATATACACACACACACACACGCACAGTCACAGTCAAATAGCAATTAACTTCTTTTTTTTTTTGGTGGGGCCAGTGAAAATTTTGGCAGGGCAAGTAAAAATCAGAACCACTGGCCCGATCGGGCCAGTAGAAAAAATCCTTAGCGTTGAACCCTGGTGTGTGTGTGTGTGTGTGTGTGTTGCACAGCTCTCTCCGTTCCCGTTTGACCTGGTGAAAGCGGAGGCTGAGAAGTATCCGCATGCGCATCTGCTCTGGTGTCAGGAGGAGCACAAGAATCAGGGATATTATGATTATGTCAAGCCCCGCATCAGCACCACCCTCAACAACACCCGTCCTGTCTGGTAATTCACATTACATCTCTCTATACATGTGTATATGCTTACAGTTGAAGTCAAAAGTATTCGCCCTCCTGTTAAATAGTTTTTAAAATATTTTAGAAATGATGTTGAACAGATTCAGGAATTTTTCTACAGTATTTCCTATAATATTTTTTCTTCTGGAGAAAGTCTTATTTGTTTTTAGCTTTGCTGGAATAAAAGCAGTTTTTTCTAAAAAATAAAAAAGTAGTGTTGGGCAAAAATTTATCACGAATAATCGCATCCAAAATAAAGATTTGTTTTGACCAAAAATATGTGTGTATTATGTACTGTATACATAAATAAACACATGCATGCATATATTTGTTTATGGATATTTAGAATATGTACGTATATGTAGAGGTATATAGATATATGTATACAAATATACATTTAAATATAGATGTAACAAAATTGTTTTGTGTAATTTAGCTTGTGTGTGTGTGTGTGTGTCACATATACATAATGAATAAATATACACTCACCGGCCACTTAATTAGGTACACCTGTCCAACTGCTTGTTAACGCAAATATCGAATCAGCCAATCACATGGCAGCAGCTCACTGCATTTAGGCATGTAGACATGGTAAAGACGATCTTCTGCAGTTCACACCGAGCATCAGAATGGGGAAGAAAGGGGATTTAAGTGACTTTGATCGTGGCATGGTTGTTGCTGCCAGACGGGCTGCTCTGAGTATTTCAGAAACTGCTGATCTACTGGGATTTTCACGCACAACCATCTCTAGGGTTTACAGAGAATAAAGAGGAAATATCCAGGGAGCGGCAGTTCTGTGGGCGCAAATGCCTTGTTGATGAGGCCAGAGGTAAGAGGAGAATGGCCAGACTGGTTCCAGCTAATAGAAAGGCAACAGTAACTCAAATAAGCACTCGTTACAACCGAGCTCTGCAGAAGAGCATCTCTGAACACACAACACGGCCAACCTTGAGGCGGATGGGCTACAGCAGCAGAAGAGCACACCGGGTGCCGCTCCTGTCAGCTAAGAACAGGAAACTGAGGCTACAATTCACACAGACTCACCAAAACTGGACAATAGAAGATTGGAGAAACGTTGCTGCTCTGATGAGTCTCCATTTCTGCTGTTGGATGCTCGGCTCACAATTTGGCCTCAACAGCATGAAAGCATGGATCATCCTGCCTTGTATCAGCGGTTCAGGCTGGTGGTGGTGGTGTAATGGTGTGGGGGAGATTTTCTTTGGGTCCATTAGTACCAATTGAGCATCAACAACACAGCCTACCTGAGTATTGCTGCTGACCATGTCCATCCCTTTATGAGCACAGTGTCTCCATCTTCTGATGGCTACTTCCAGCAGGATAACGCAGCATGTCATAAAGCTCAATCATCTCAGACTGCTTTCTTGAACATGACAATAAGTTCACTGTACTCAAATGGCCTCCACAGTCACCAGAGCTCAATCCAACAGAGCAGCTTTGGGATGTGGTGGAACGGGAGATTGGCATCATGGATGTGCAGCCGACAAATCTGCAGCAACTGTGTGATGCTATCATGACAATATGGAGCAAAACCTCTGAGGAATATTTCCAGTAGCTTGTTGAAACTTTAGTTAAGACTGTCTAACCCAGGGGTGTCCAAACTCAGTCCTGGAGGGCCGGTGTCCTGCATATTTTAGTTCCAACCCCAATTAAGAACACCTGAACCAGCTAATCAAGCTCTTTGTGGGTGTACTAGAAACTTCCAGGGAGGCGTGTTGAAGGATGTTGGAGCTTAACTATACAGGACACCGGCCCTCCAGGACCGAGTTCGGACAGCCCTGGTCTAACCTTTACAGAAACAATATTTTTAGTTTTGTTTTTCATTGTTTATGCAATGTGTTGATCAGCTGTTCTGTGTGTGTGTGTGTGTTGTGTTCAGGTATGTGGGCCGAGATCCAGCTGCTGCTCCAGCTACAGGAAACAAGAAGGCTCATCTGCTGGAGCTGCAGCGCTTTCTAGACACGGCGTTCAACCTGGAGGCTTTCCAGAGCGCGTCATAACAGCACACACACACACACACCTCCGTCCCGCAAACACACTCGATATTAGCATCAGAAGGCAAGCTGGCAGCTATTGAGAATAAAGCACTGTAGTCTATGCAGAATCTCCCGCAAGCTTTAACTGCTCCAGGATCAGTGTTCCTGCATGATCTGAGGGAAGGCATGCTGATGGAGGCCTGAAATAATGCTCAGATTCAACCACAGGTTCCCCTTCAGGACGACATCAAGGGTCAGTTCACGCAAATATGAACATGTCCTGTTCATTTACTCACCCACAAGTGATCCAAGAGGAGTTTTATTCCTTCAGTTGGACATTAGAGAAGATTTGGAGCTGAATGTGTGGCGATTAGTGATTATAATGGCAGTGAATGCTCACAGGTTATTTAGATTAAAAATAAACACAAATAAATGAGTTCAAAACAATCGTCACGGCTCCTGATGACACACTAAGCTCTTCTGAAGCTGAACAGTCACTCTGTGTATAGAAATTGAACATTATTTACAATATTATGAGCTATAATAATTATTATTAACTATATTATTAACTATATTTGTATATATTGACGCGGCGGCTCAGTGGCTGGCGCTGCTGACTCGCAGCGGGAGGGCCAATCGTTCAAGTTCTAATTGAGCCAGTCGGCACTCTCTGCGCAGAGTTTGCATGTTCTCCCCGTGTTCCCTGGGTACTCTGGTTTCCTCCCACAGTCTAAAAACAAGTGACATAAGCAAATTGTAATAGTCACAAGCACCTAACGCATACATACTGAATCCATTCTTATAGATCCACTTCTTTAATCAAAGTTGGAAAAAACAAACTGGGGCTCTGGAGAAAAACCCGTGTCCCTCCTAATGATCCAGGCCGGACCCTAGGGCTCATCTATCTCCAAGCTCAGGGTTCTCTCCTGGGACAGCATGCCAAACCTGCTACTATAGTCGAGCATTATCTAAGTGTGAACTCTTGAAAGCTGATAATATCGTAAATAATGTTTAATTTTTCACTCGTTTGCCTTCACAAGGCCTCAGTGTGCATCAGGAGCTGTTGATTTGAACTTGTCTGTGTGTGGTTATTTATTATTTTTCTAAGTGTTTGTATTAGTTTTACATTTTTCAATAGTTTCCAAACAACACAACAAATAAGCAGAATAATACAGAGAAAATAATGAACGTTAAAATAAATAAAACCAATTACTTATTCATTTTCTTTTCAGCTTAGTCCCTTTATTAATCTGGGGTCACCACAGCGGAACGAACCACCAACTTATCCAGCATATACAGTATGGTCACCTTAGAAATATAAGGTTTTATCTGACATTTTTGTCAAAATTGAGTTATTGAATTCTTATTAAATTACATCTTATTGACATTATGGGAGGTTTTTTATAAGTTGTTTACATTTTACTTTTTATTTAAATAAACAAATGTTCTACACACACTGTTTGCTATAGAATGCAAAAACTGCGAAGCTCAACATCTTAAAATCATTCAGAACGCAGAGAGAAACTCATAATGCCACACTGCCAAAACTGCTTTTCTTACTTGATTATTTTTTGTCTTGTTTCTGCTCCAAATATCTACAAATTTCTAAATCAAGAAGCATTTTCTAGAAAAGCAAAACATATCGTCTTGTTTTAAGAAATAATATGCCAATATCATGTGTTTCCTTAAATAAAGCTAAATAATCTGCCAATGGGGTGAGCAAAATGATCTTGTTTTTCAATTTGTGATAAGATCATTTTAATATATTAATATATTAATATAATATTTAATATATTAATATATTAATATAAATATATATTGATATGTTTTGCTTTTAAGAATTTGTAGATATTTGGAGCAGAAACAAGACAAAAAAAATCTAAGTAAGAAAAGCAGTTTTGGCAGTGCAACCATTTAATTCTCACTGTACACTACGGACAATTTAGCCTACCCATGTCACCTGTACCGCATGTCTTTGGACTGTGGGGGAAACAGAGCACCCAGAGGAAACCCAAACGAACACGGGGAGAACATGCAAACTCCACACAGAAACACCAACTGACCCAGCCGAGACTCAAACCAGTGAGCTTCTAGCTGTGGCGATTGTGCTAACCACTGCGCCACCGTTACACCCAATTAAATTATTAATGAAACAATTAAAGCACACAGTGTAAACGCTTTTAATGAAAATACAGGGGCAGTGAACATATTAAGCATGTTCAGAATCCGCAGTGTGTGTTTATCTTTAATCTAGTAAACCGGTCACCATTCACTGCCATTACAATCACCAAACACCACAGATTCATCTCTGCTTTAATGTTCAGCTGAAGATAAATCTGATCCTATATCTTGGATGATTGTAAGTAAATGAACAGGAAATGTGCATTTTTGGGTGAACTGACCCTTTAATAATTGCATTGAGTATGCACAGAAGTGCTTGGCATGGACGTCTCATGCATGGACTGGATGCGTTTTAAACTACTGTGAAAGGATTATCCATCATCAAGCCTGCGTTTAAGTTTTATAATCTAGAAGAAAGTTTTAAACACCGTGCCAAATTACCATGAACTGCAGTCTGCGACTCCAAGCTGAAACAATCACTGTATCCTGTTTTAATTCAAGACAGACACGCGTACGCTCTCAGCAAAGACTTAAAGGGTTTATTTATTTTCATAGATTTCTGATTATTCCAGACTTCAAAATAAAAGCATCTCCGTTTCATTCTGTCTGCTTCTGTTCCTGTGATATCTCTAACAGTGATGTGAACGGGTTTATGTAGCATTAATACATCTCATATGTGCATTTGATCAAGGTTAAAGGCACAGCGCACACACAAATCAACATTGATCACTCTGGTGTTTAACACAACGTGAGATATGCTGGAAACAACAGCCATCGACTGCAGTAGCATGTGTTTTATGTGTTTTATTCTTTTTCCAGCAGCATCTTCATCTTCAGAAACTGGTAAAAGTGTGAGGCGGTGTTTATTTGTGTTAGATGAACATGAACGCTTAATTAAGGTAAACAGTGGACCTCTAGAACAGCTTTACAGGACACTCAGCAGGATTTATCCATTATTATTATTACAGGCCTACAGAGATATATTGAGTCTTACCGGTGTAAAACTGCAGAGCTTGTGTGTGTGTGTGTGTGGTTGATATATTAACAGCAGTGTTACCAGTGTAAAACTGCAGCTCTTGTGTTTGATATACTGACAGCAGCGTTATCGGTGTAAAACCGCACCATGGGTGTGTTTTATTGATCGCAGGGTTGCTGGTGTAAAACAGACCAGCTTGTGTGTGTGTGTGTGTTTGATAGATTTACTGCAGTGTTACCAGTGTGAAACGGCACTGCTGGTGTGTGTTCTTCTCTTTCTTCCCTGTGTGTGTGTATGTGTGTGTGTGTGTGTGTGAGAGATCCTCTTCACAGTGAGCTGTTGCTGCATCTAATCTTCGCTCTGATGAACCTGTACAGGTCGGTGTGTGTGTGTGTGTGTGTGTGTGTGTGTGTGTGTGTGTGTGTGTGTGTGTGTTCCTCTTCACAGTGAGCTGCTGTTGTGGCCGATGTTGTCTCTGATGAACCTGTACAGGTCAGTGGGTGTGCGTGTGCGCTCGTAGTGTTTACAGTAGTCCTTCAGCAGCTCGTACAGTTTACCTGTTCAGAGAAGAGTTGGAGTTACTCTATATTCAGGATTAACACATTAACATATTGTCCTAACTACATGCACCGCAGCCATGAAGCTCTCTTGACCATGTTAAACTGGCTTTTTTCTGATCATCTGTGACTGCAGCATGTGAAATTTCTCTTTTAGAAACCGTTTCTGATTCTGAGACGTCACGGCAGAACCGCATCATGAACTACAGTGACGAGGATCAGCTCAGGTACTGATTATGTGCTTTATTCACTGTTCAATGCTACGAATGCGAGTTTAAATGTCAGTATATGTGAGGTTAATTGGCTGAAAGCAGCAGCAGATAGTTCAGCTGCAGTAGGTGATGGTCCTCAGACACGTGTGTTGTTGTGCTGGTCTCTTCACAGTCCAATAATACTGATTAAAGTAAATGATCTAAACGTGTTTTTAGATTCTGCTTGAAAAAACAAACAAAAAAGTTCATCCAATAAATATTGTCGGGCTGTCATCTCCCATATATCCAATAATGAGCTCAAACTGTCTGTCAGCAAATGCAGATTTGCACTATTGCGCACCGCAGCTCGGCCGTTCGTGCATTCACTGAGCTGAAGGTGGTTTTATATTCACACTGGCTCATTTCTGAACACTGATGATCTGTGACACGCTGCCTATACTGTTTACCGCTACTCTGAATATTCGCTCTGATATAGCATGTAAGTATGGCTTAGTAATGAGTAATTCCTGCACACCGCTGGACAAGCACTAGTGGTTTTTAACAGGAGAGAGGGTTCTGCGGTCATCTTTAAAGAGTCACAAAACACCAAAACACATGTTTGGAGATGTTGACAGTCATATTTGCTTCTTACCTATAAAAGCTTTAAATATCAACAACACTGTGCAGTAAAGGGTTAAAGAGGAAAATCAGAAGCAAAAAAAAAAACAGTGAAAATTGAGTTGAAATGCTGCAGGTTGTAATTTATTTGCAATATTTTGCTTGAATTTAATTGTATTATCTTTCAATTTCTAAAGATGTTTGATGACTAAAATATTATTATAATAAATATATCTGTTTAAAAAATCTGTTTTGATCAAATGCACTAAAATCCTCTGCCTATATTCACTGAGAACTGGAGGAACATATTCATCTCCAACATATGAAGAGTTATGCTGAACACTGAATAATGTGTGATGTGTTGAATATCTGGCTTTTTTCTTTTTTTGATTGGTGTGTGTGTGTGTGTGTGTGTGTGTGTGTACGTACCCACAGTCACTTTCCTCTGGGTCAGGATATCATGCATTTTCTGCAGTTCGTTTGCGAGGTGTGTGTTCCCAAAAGTGAAGTACGCCACATCTCTGTCCACCACTGCTGCGGCCATCAGCTGAAGCAGAGCTGAACACACACACACACATACACACACACACACACACACACACAAATAAACACACACTAGATCAGGCAGAGCGAGTGAGTATGTGTGTGTGTGTGTGTGTGTGTGTGTGTGTGTGCATGTACTGTGTGTTTGTGTCTGTGTTTTTGCAAGTGTGTGTGTCTGTCAGTTTGCCAGTGTTTGTCTGCATGTGTGTGTTTTTCAAGTGTGTCTCTGTGTGTGTGTAACTGTCAAGGTTTGCACATGTTTGTGTGTGTTTGCAGGTATGTCTCTGTATTTGTGTGTCTGGCAGTTTGCAAGTGTGTGTCTGCAACTGTGTGTGTGTGTTTTTGCAAGTGTGTGTGTGTGTTTGTATGTTTGCAACTGTGTTTTTGTAAGTGTTTGCGTGTGTGTGTGTGTGTGTGTGTGTTCATGCACCTTTGAGTTTGGGGTCTCCTCTGAAGGCTCCGCAGCCCCAGTTGCCGGTAGCGATGGCCGTTTTGGGCTGTCCACAGAATCCCACAAACGCCTTCGAGAAACACACAAAACAAACACGTTTAAACACACACACACACACACACACACTGCGATAAACACACTGGTGTTATGGTCAGAGTAGCTGATGTAGAGTGTGTGACCTTGTTGAGTTCTCGAGTGATGTTCTCTCTGCTGTACTGCTCAAGCGGGTTCTTGAAGTCCAGCGCGTCGATGGCCACGATCTGACGAAACCGCCTCTTCCACACATCTCTGCACACACACACACACACACACACACACACATATATACAGATTTCTATCCCAGTTATGTAAAAGGTCTTAAATTATAATTTTTAGTAGACCAGCAGGAAAATATAGTGTTGTTTTCAGAAATAAAGAGTCAAAATGAAGAGAGTTAAACACTGACACAGTGGAGGAAGAGGAATAATCTGCTGTTGGCTTTGAGATTATTTAGCTTGTCTTATTGTCAGATGATTTTGCTCATTATTATGATTATTATTATTATTATTATTATTATTGTAGGAGTGTGTCTACCGTTTAGTGCGGTCCATATACGGCCCCGTCCAGCTGAAGCTCCTGCTGTATCCTGACGTCAGGCTGTACATCTGTGGCCCTGAACACACACACACACACACACATTGCAGCAAAGTGAGTGTGTGTGACATTGTAAGTGTACTTAACTCTTTCTGTGAGTGTGTTTCTGTGTGAGTATGTACGTGTCTGTGTGTGTGTTTGTGCACATAACTTTAACCATGTGTATATGTGTGTGTATGTGTGTTTACTTACATACATAACTTTGACTCCGTGTCTATGTGTGTGATTGTGTCTGTATACGTGTCTGTGTGTGTATGTGACTGCATGCAGGTGACTGTGTGTGACTCCATGTGTAAATGTGGCTGCACATCTGTGTGTGTGTGTGTGTGTGACTGGTAGTGTGTGTGTGTATTATGTATGTGTCTGAACTCATGCGATTGTCTGCAACTCTGTGGACTGTGTGTGGATGGACAGACGGACAGACAGTGAGCGACCCACCTGTGATCCTGACACACTCGTGGTCGTCCAGTTTCTCAGTGAAGAGTCTGGCCAGGATCAGCTCTGGACTCATCAGGAACAGAATCTCCTCCTGCACCAGGCCGGACTTCAGCACACCTCCACCAATGAACTTACTGGCGAAGTCCACCTACACACACACACACACACACACACACACACACACACACACACATATATACACATGCACACATTAAATTAGGCTAAATTGAACAGTAATAGATTGGATATTTCAGTGGTTCAGATATTACATTATACTAACTGATATCTTAGTGAATGTCCGCCCACACTGCTCCTGGCTCAGTTTAACTCTTGAGTTCTAGTCGTATTTATTTACTCTGTTCTTCTAAAGCTATGGACGGAGGAATGCTGAAGCGTCTGTACAGTTAATATTAGGAGATGTTCTGACCTGCAGCATCCCTGTGCCTTCCTTCTCAATGGAGCCGTCAGCAGAAACGTGGAGGTTCTTCAGGAGTTTCTTCTCACTGCAGGCAAACACGGTCAGTAATCAATCAATCATCCATAAATCAGTAAGTCTATCCATCAATTCAATCATCGATTTGTCAATCCATCCAATCAATTATTCAAACAATTTATCCATCATCAAATTAATCAATTCATTAATCCGTAAATCCATCAATCTGTCAGTTCATTCAATCGATCCATCAATTCATCAATCGATCAATTTAATTAATTCATCAATCGATCCATCTATCCAAGCAATATATCAGCCATCAATTTGTCTACACATCATTCATAAATCTGTCAATATATCAATCCATCAATTGATCTATCTATTAATCAATCTATCCAATCGATTCATCAAATGAACCATCGATCTAAAATCAATCAATTTTTCAATTTAATCCATCAATCAATCAATCAATTAATCAATCTGTCAATCCATCCATCAATTCATTAACTGACCCATCAATCAATTTGTCAATATATCAATCAGTCAATAGATCTTATTTATCCATCCATCAATTCAGCGATCCATCAGTTCATCAACCAATCCATCCAATAATCCTGTCAATTCATCAATCGATTGATTGATCAGTTGATCTATCCATTCATTAATTTGTCCATCCATCAATCTATCAATTCATCAATCCGTCTAATCGATCCACCAATTCATCAAACGATTTGTCCATCAATTTTTCCTTCAGTTCAATATATCAATCAATCTGTTAATCAATTCGTCAATCTATCCATCATCCATCCATCAATGCATTAATTGATCCATCAATCAATTTGTCAATCAGTAAGTCAATCAGCTAATCTATCCAATCTATCTATCCATCAATTTGGTGAAACATCAATTTAACAATCAATCCATCCAATCAATCTGTCAATTCATCAATCAATCAATCATTTGATCCATCAATTCATCAATCAACTCAATCCATCCATCCAATCCATCCAGCAATTCATTAAACCATCCATCCATCCATCAATCCTTCAATTCAATTGATCAGTCAACCTATCAATCTGTTAATCAATTCATCAATCAATCCATCCATCAATTTGATCAATATATCAACCAGTCAATCAATCATCCATCCATCAGTGTCAGTGTGGTCAGTCACCTCTTCCACTTGGGCAGTTCTGATGCTGGAACACTGACCCTCTCGAACGTGACCAGTCCGTCTGCTTTACATGCTGTCAAACAAGGGAACAGACATCATTACATTACATTACAGCAACTTCACTATCAGGCACTCGCATCACACAAGAAGTACAGTTTACTGAATAGTGTGATTAAATACAGTATCTTGAGTGTGTGCTGTTTTACATCACAGACATACACTGCACTTTACTATATATTTACACAGCTAACAGCTCATTTCAATAAGAATATTTCACTTTTTGTCTTGTATTTTTGATCAGATATGAACAGTTCTGTTCGGTCATTAAGCCCGTGCTGACGCCAGCAGTAGTTGAACAGTACCTGGATCCTTCTCTTCGCTGGTCACGGTGTCGAAGTAATGAAAAATGGCTCTCAGCTTCTCAGCCTTTCCAGATAACTTTGACGGATCATTGCGGCCACCGAAGAGGCTGAAATTAAACATGAAATGTTCATTTACACAGGCTTCATAAAGGTCTTCTCTTCCTAAATAGGTAATAATTATTAAACGTTAAACTGCAAAAAATGTGTTCTTTCACATAAATAGTAAACTGTGGAGTCTGAAACAGGAAAGACATTTAAGACACCGTCGAGTCATTAATGCCATTAAAAAAAACTATTCCTTAGAAAATTGTACTATAGCACAGTGTTTCTCAACCACGTTTTCAATTCATTCATTTTCTTGTCGGCTTAGTCCCTTTATTAATCCGGGGTCGCCACAGCAGAATGAACCACCAACTTATCCAGCAAGTTTTTTACGCAGCGGATGCCCTTTCAGCCGCAACCCATCTCTGGGAAACGTCCACACACACATTCACATACACTACGGACAATTTAGCCAACCCAATTCACCTGTACCACATGTGTTTGGACTGTGGGGGAAACCGGAGCACCCAGAGGAAACCCATGTGAAGGCTGGGAGAACATGCAAACTCCACACAGAAACACCAACTGAGCCGAGGTTCGAACCAGCAACCCAACAACCTTTTTGCTGTGAGGCGACAGCACTACCTACTGCGCCACTGCCTCGCCCCGTACTATACTATACTAACGTAATACTATATTATACTAATTAAAATGTACTGCATTATACTGTACTGTACTACTGTAGTATACTATGCTATTCTAGACTACACTTTTTTGTACTGTATACCATACTATTCATACTATACTTTATTGTAAAGTACTGTACTATACTATACTACACTTTGCTGTACTGTAATGTACTGCACTATACTGTTGGACTATACTATACTCTAATGTGCTGTACTATACAGTACTTATAATATTCTAGACTTTAAATGTACTGCACTTTGCTATACTACACAACCTGACCAAAGCCTTGTGTCCTCTCCATGTTTTAGGAACACAGATAATAACTGCTCTTCTAGTTGATGATCTGGTGTCAGAAGTGTCTCTATGAAAGGTGAAGGCCTCTAGATTTTGCTGATTTGAGCTCAATAAATCTGATCATGTCTTGATGTTGACTGATTTGATGAGGACAGTGCGCTCTGACTCTGCTCAGACTAAAGTCTCATCACTGAACAGAAATAATGTCCAGTATAGAATATAAAGTCCTGCTGCAGTGGAGACAGAATGAATATTGTGTCTGACTCCATCATGAGCTTGGAGGACTGCATCCATACATCTGTGACATGACTCACATCACTGATTAATAAAGTCATCTGGAATGAAGAAGAAAGCTTCAGCAGGATCCCAGAGCTCATCAAGAGTCTTTGTGTTCATCTTCAACACCTCCTCCTTCATCAGCTCAATAATGTTGATGTCTGGTGACTGGGCTGGCCAATCTTGACCTTCTCTGCTTTCAGGATCTTTGATGTGGAGGCTGAAGTATGAGCAGGAGCGCTATCCTGCTGGAGAATTGTCCTCTCCTGTGGTTTGTAATGTAATGGGCAGCACAGATGTCTTGATACCTCAGGCTGTTGATGTTGCAGATCTCTCCATACTGAATGAACCCCAAACCATGATGTCTCCTTCACCAAACTTGACTGATTTCTGTGAGAATCTTGGTCCATGCTGGTTCCAGTAGGTCTTCTGCAGTTTTGGTGATGATCGGGATGCAGATCAGCAGATGATCCAGAGGAGAAATCCACCTTCTGACACTCTTACTTATCATCAGTCGAGTTACTATCTGCTGCTCTTACAACTGAGTTCCACCACAAGACTTCTGTCAGGTAGTGTATATATTATAACAAATGGTATCTGGAATAATGCGATAAAGTACTTGTGAAATGCACTTGTAAAATACTGAACAGATGTAACAGAGCAGTGTGTGTGAGTGTAGGACCTGCTGAAGTTTATGGTGGGGTAGCTGGCGTATTCAGAGCCGGGGCTGGTGTCGTTTCTGTGAGGGAAAGTGCAGAAGAAAGCGTTGGCCAGCAGGCAGGAGATCTGCTGCTGAGAGAGGGTGATGGCCTGATTCTGATTGTGCCGCAGGAGAGGAATGGACTGAAAAACAGAGCACAGGGTAAAGACATCTGGCGGAATACACACACACACACACACACACAACACACACACACTGCTTTATCAGCAGCTGTTGTAGAAGACTTTAGGGTTGATGTTAGGGATAAAGTAGTGTCAGACTGACGGCTGAAGGAACTTTGGAAGCTTTGAATGGTCAAGCCCCGCCCACTATGTTAATTGATTGACAGGTTAACCGACCAATCATGTTTGTGAATGTCTTTAAAGGGCTCCTATATTGCAAAACTCACTTTTATGCAGGGTTTAACCCCAGTTGTGTCTGTCAGCAGTGTGTGAGTATCTCCAGCCTCTAATGCTCAACATGAATGAGTTGTGTTTGTTCTAATCAGACTTGATCAAATCAGTCTGCAGAAACACTGTGATTGACATTCTCCCTTTGTACGTGTCCCACTAGTGACCATCTTTCCCTCATTAGCATAGGACATGTCTTTTTATTTTAATCTGCCACTATGCTGACACACAGCCGTCTGTAGCTCCGCCCTCTTCTGTAAAGAGCACAATCTCATTTGCATTTAAAGCGACAGTCACCAAAACACCACAATCAGGATGAAGGCCTGAAAGGGTCAGATTCAGAGAGCTGGAGAACATTATCAGTGTGCTATTCTCAGCTCAAACTCAAACACACACTCACTAGAGCCACAGAGATGCATATTACATCTTATAGAAAGGGATAGACACCTTAAAAAGTTCATAACAACAACCTACCAATACTCTTAATGATCTGTCAGCAAAACATAAGAAATAAGCAGGACGTTGTACTGAGATTCATATTCACATTCATAGTATTTGCTTTTCTTACTATGGTAGTAAATGTTTTCCAACATTCTTCAAAATATCTTCTTTTGTGTTGAACAGAAACTCAATCAGGTTTAAAACAATTTGATGGACATAAAAAATTGGGTATATATATATAACAAGCTGTCCCTTTCCCTGAGTGAACAAGGAGAAATCTTACCCGCTGAATAAGAGACGGTAACTCTGTTGCCAGTTTGGCCATTTTTGGGATCACCAAATGAAGGTTATCATCCATTTTGTGAAGATTCTGTAAAACAAACATTTGCAATCTGTATTTTCACAATGACATTTACCCAGTGTTAGGTACATTTATCTAGTCACTCTATTAAATGACTGATTACTGTTCATTAATTCATTCAGTACTGGGAAACACACACACACACACACACACACACACACTTGTACACTATGGCCAATTTAGCTTACCCAATTCCCCTATAGCGCATGTGTTTGGACTGTGGGGGAAACCGGAGCACCCGGAGGAAACCCACGCCAACACGGGGAGAACATGCAAACTCCACACAGAAACACCAATTGACCCAGCCGGGACTCGAACCAGTGACCTTCTTGCTGTTAGGCTACAGTGCTAACCACTGAGCCACCGTGCAGGCCCGATTACTGTTCAATTTAAGATAATTTAATTATTTTTACATATGTACTTGTCTTAAATACTGTACATAAATTCTTTTACTGCTTAAATGTAAATTCAGTTCAGAGAAGCAGAGTAATATATGATAGAATTATTTTATTTAAATTAGAAACATCTATCATTTAATCAAGACAACTGCATATATTTAAACAATCAAATGTTAATTTACACCAACACATGCTGAAATATGGTGTCATTATTTTGAAGCACTTTGTGTTTTGATGCATATATATTTTTATATTATTTATTTGATATTATTTCTATCAATTTGTGACTTTTTACTGTCTAGTCAAATAACTAAATTACTTTTCAGATTAGAAAGTACTTTACATGCATTCGCAATCATGTAATTATTACCTTCCCGTAATAAAAAAGTGCATCAAATGTCCACTTGTCTCTGTTGCTGGAGTTGTAGGACATGATTGCGGTCTATAAACAACAGGAGAGCAGAGGTTATGATGTTATAACACACGTCAGACATTTATTCTTATTATTTGTTTACGGTTATGAATTGCATTCTTTCACTCTCTGTTCGGCCAACGTTTGATGTTGAACATTCAATTCTGCGGTTTAACAAAGACTTGCATTAGAAATATATACAGAATTAATGCCATAAAATACCAGAAAAGGTACTAGCAGTTTATTACTAGGTTTTTGTTACATAATGTACAACACCAACCCAGACAATATAGCACTGCACACTATTACACATATACATGAGTCACTTTTTAAACTTGTCAATATCAAAAGATGTTGGAGGAAAAGTCCCATAATGCAATTCAAAAGCTGAAATAAACTGAAAACAAAAACATGATCACCAAACTGAATTCATTTACAGACTTTTTTGTTTCTATATATATATATATATATATATATATATATATATATATATATATATACACAGTTGAAGTCAGAATTATTAGCCCCCCTGAATTATTATCACCCCTGTTTATTTTTTCCCCATTTTCTGTTTAATGGAGGGATGATTGTTTCAGCACATTTCTGCACATAATAGTGTTAATAACTCATCTCTAATAACTGATTTATTTTCTCTTCTCCATGATGACAGTAAGTAATATTAGTCTAGATATTCTTTAAGACACTAGTATTCAGCTTACAGTGACATGTAGAGGCTTCACTACAGGATTGTACGATTCTCACATTCCAACAGATTAAGGACAAGTTCAGTATTCCTAACGTGGACTTTAAGTATCTACAGGTTTGAAACTTTATTTTGAGAAAGTATAAAGATTACCCAGGAGGATTTGATATTTCCCCAGTGGAATCACTTCTTGCCATTGAGATGCAGGTCAAATGCATTACACAGCGTGTCTATATAACACCCTTTGTTATGTTAAAACCGAGAACCTTGACTCACTTAAGTGTCAATGGGAAGCTGATCTGGGCAGTGTAATTGACAATGATTCCTGGTTGGATCTATGTAGCAACCCTCTTGGTGTGTTAGCCTCAAATTTTGCTCAGGAAAGACGATTTAAAATTTGACATAGACTGTTTATTACACATAAAATGAATCCAGGTCAGTCTGAGCGGTATGTGTAATGTAAATTAGACATTGGAACTTACTATCATTGTATGTGTACTGTAGTTGTCCTTATATACAGCAGTTTTGGGACTTGATCAGACTGCAGCTCGACGCCATCTTTAAATGTGCATTTCGACTAAGAGCAAACACTTGCTTACTGGGCCTCATTGATGATGTACCTTATAATTTTCAGAACAGAGACCTACTACATATTTTGGTTTACTTTGCTCAGAAATGTATCCTTGTAAAGTGGATTAATGAAGAACCGCCCAGTTTAAATCAACGGCTGCTTGCAGTCTGCAGCATTATCCCCCTTGAGGCTTTCTCCACAGCTATGAAGAGCAAACCTTTTCTATTTTATCAGACCTGGGACCCTTTCTTTCATTATCTAGGAGCCTCTAAGTCTCCAAGACTAAAAGCTTGTCTGTTAGACCTGGACAAAAGAAATGTAACATGCCTTTTTGCATTATAATATTGTATTTTTTTGTCATTATTGTTTATTATTATTATCATAATTTCTATTATTATTATTTTATTTTTCATGTGGGGGTCAGAACTCAAATTACATGTATGACAGACACTATCTTTCTACTCAATGTTATTTTCTGACATGTTTTTGCACTAAAAATGTTCAATAAAAATATATTTGGAAAAAAAGGCTTCACTAGGGTAATTAGGGTAAAGTTAGGGTAATTAGGCAAGTCATTGTATATCAGTGGTTTGTTCTGGACAATCCAACACTAATATTGCTGAAGGGGTGAATAATACTGACCTTAAACAGGCTTTAAAACTATTAAAAACTGCTTTTATTCAAGCCCAAATAAAACAAATCAGACTTTCCCCAGAAGAACAAATATTAGAGGAAATACTGAGAACAACTCCTGAATCTGAACAACATCATTTGGGAAATATTTGATGAAGAATTCACAGGAGGGCAAAAAATTCTGACTTTAATTCTACATAATAAATATACACAATCCACATTTAAATGATGTCAAAACACACTTTCATTTTGGATGCGGTTGATTACGACTAGTTTTTGCCCACCACATGTGACAGGATTGACAATAAAGCTGACTTTTGGGTTTTTCTTGATAGTAATAATGGATTTTACAGCACCTGAATGTCTCCAATGGAGGAGGAGGGCGTCAGTTTGCGCAGCGCCTGCTTAATGGCCTCCCAGCGTGGCTGACCCGAGCGAGACGCATGCGGAGACTGGAGGAAACAAACATGACTCTACATCATCCTGAAGTGCTGATGAGATTACGCTGATCTGGATGTCAAACACACCTGCATGTGCGGCAGCTTCACATGATGAGCATCCCAGACATGCTGGCCCTGTCGAGGAGCGATTACACCCTGCTTCACCCAGTCCAGCTGCGCAGACAAACCACAAACATCCATGATGAGCAAGATTGTAGGAATGAAGGTAAGTGCATGCAGGACACTACGCAGACCGTTACTAATGGAACTACAAAAAGGATAACGGATTGCTATGGTAACAGAACAGCTACAGTAATTAATCTGTTGTGGTGATTCTACAGTTGCTATAGTAACAACATCTACAGTAATTAATCTGTTGTGGTGATTCTACAGTTGCTATAGTAACAACATCTACAGTAATTAATCTGTTGTTGTGATTCTACAGTTGCTATAGTAACAACATCTACAGTAGTTAATCTGTTGTGGTGATTCTACAGTTGCTATGGTAACATGACGAATACAGTAATGGATCTGTTGTTGTGATTCTACAGTTGCTATGGTAACAACATCTACAGTACTTAATCTGTTGTGGTGATTCTACAGTTGCTATGGTAACATGACGAATACAGTAATGGATCTGTTGTTGTGATTCTACAGTTGCTATGGTAACAACATCTACAGTAGTTAATCTGTTGTGGTGATTCTACAGTTGCTATGGTAACATGACGAATACAGTAATGGATCTGTTGTGGTGATTCTACAGTTGCTATGGTAACACAACAACTACATTAGTTAATTTGTTGTGGTGATTCTACAGTTGCTATGGTAACAACAACTACAGTAGTTAATCTGTTGTGGTGATTCTACAGTTGCTATGGTAACAACAACTACAGTAGTTAATCTGTTGTGGTAATTCTACAGTTGCTATGGTAACAACAACTACAGTAGTTAATCTGTTGTGGTAATTCTACAGTTGCTATGGTAACAACAACTACAGTAGTTAATCTGTTGTGGTAATTCTACAGTTGCTATGGTAACAACAACTACAGTAGTTAATCTGTTGTGGGGATTCTACAGTTGCTATAGTAACATCATCTACAGTAGTTAATCTGTTGTGGTGATTCTACAGTTGCTATGGTAACATCATCTACAGTAGTTAATCTGTTGTGGTGATTTTACAGTTGCTATGGTAACATCATCTACAGTAGTTAATCTGTTGTGGTGATTCTACAGTTGCTATGGTAACATCATCTACAGTAGTTAATCTGTTGTGGTGATTCTACAGTTGCTATGGTAACATCATCTACAGTAGTTAATCTGTTGTGGTGATTCTACAGTTGCTATGGTAACATCATCTACAGTAGTTAATCTGTTGTGGTGATTCTACAGTTGCTATGGTAACATCATCTACAGTAGTTAATCTGTTGTGGTGATTCTACAGTTGCTATGGTAACAGAAGTTATCATAGGTAATTGATCTGTAACAGTAAGGTAACAGTAATTGGTCTGTTGTGGTGTTTTAACAGTTACTATGGTAACAGAACAACACTACAGTAATATAAACAAATGACCCAATACTGTAGTTTTCTACTACTTTAGGGTTTATTATCCTACTGCGTTAGCTTCTACACTCTTAAAACATCCAGAATATTTTGACACATTTGTTTTAAAAAGGAAGTTCTACACAGAAATAACACATTTTAAAAATCATAAATACATTCATTTTGTTTATTATGAAACATTTTTTAAAGTAAGACTAAATAAATATTGTTTTTAAGAACAGATTCTTACATCTACCAGCACCGTGTGGCCTTTCCACAGAAGCGTGGGGCTGTTCATAGTGTAGTTCTCCAGTCTCTGCAGGTTCCTGATGGGAAACGTGGGAAGTGTGGCTCTCGATTGTGATCCAGAAGTGTGTGACGTCTGCATCAGATCACCTTCAGATGAGCTGTGTGAAGAGCAGGCTTATTCTAGCACACTAACACTATTCACTACCTGAAATCAAATACAAAATTCACAATAAAGAGAAATCTAAACTAACAACAGTCACTGAAAAACTACAACTGAAATAAAATAATAAGTAGCAAAAATAATAATTATTTTTAATAGATTTATCATTTTAAAATAATTATTCATAATTAATAAGCTCTTATTCTGTGGTATCCATTCTGACCTGAGGTACCTTGTAAATGGTACTTTTACAGCCATACACATCAGTTAAGCACATGACTACATAGAAAAACATCTTATATATATATATATATATATATATATATATATATATATATATATATATATATATATATATATATATATATATATATAGTTGAAGAGTTAAGATGCAACCCCCTCTACATCAGACCTGTTTTCTTGTAAATGAGCATTTTCTATCAGGCTCCTCTGATCAGGTTCAGAAGTGTCATTTTATATGTATGTAATGATGAGGTTATTAGCTGGTAAATAAAATACCTTTTCTTCATAAATGTCACTTTAGATAATTCTTTTGTTTTTAACAAGGGAAATTTTCCTTTTGCGTCAAAACCAGCTAAACCCACGTCTGCTTTCACAGCAAAATCTCTAAATCCACTTATTGAGACAGGACAGTGTAATTAGCTGAAAATGAAGCTGCCATCAGAAATTATTTTACCAAAAATAAAACACATCACACACACCACCTGAAATTAAAAATATATAAATCTGCCAAGTAAGTGGCGGTTCATTGCACTGTGATAAACCAGGGATAAGAAGGAAAATGATTGAATGAAATCTGTCAGTAAGTGCATTAATCAATAACATTAAAGCTGACATTAATTAAATTTTAATGATCTGTTGTCATGTCTGATATTTGGTATTTAGATTTAATGTAAGTAATGTAAACATTGTAAACTAAGCTTGTTAGATTCAAATTATGAAATGTAAAACATTGTCAAACATCAATATCTGTGCATTGTCCATTAATATAAAAAGCTTAACAGACATACTGAGGTATTATGAAGTCATATAAATAATGTAGAGTTTTATATATTATATTTACCTTTTAAAAACAGCTTAAATTAGCAAATAAAACACAAGGTACTGGGCAAAAAGTCTAGCGGCTTTTGCCAACAAACTGTTATTTGTGAATGCGCTGATGCTGACATTCAGATAATTGGAAGCAAATCTATTTGTTGATAGTGTAGTACATGCCTAAAGCATTCACTCAATGCCATTAGCTCATTTGTGGCGTTTAGCAGCTTTTGCATCTAAACTCTTCATATATATATATATATTTATATATATATATATATATATATATATATATATTTATTTATTTATCCGGATGCAGCCTTTATGATGCAAGCTGAGATTGCATCACCCAGCCATGCAATCTCATACACAATGCTCTCAATGGAGTGAGTGACGTCACTGTGACAGGTGGGGTTAGGGGTGGGGTTAGGTGAGCCCATTAAAAAGCATTGGATGCAGCTCAGATTGCACTGCACCAGGTCTGCATCCAGACCCCTCTCCTGGTGGGAGGCGTGCGTTGGCAAGAGGTCGTAGGCCAAGTGCCTTAGTGCCCCCACCAGTGCCAATATACAGCCATATCGCACTGCTATGAGTGTGATTATGCCGTTAAACTGTTGTATAAACGCAATGTTGTGTATATAAAAACAAAATAAAACATGGAGAGTCTCGAAAACCCTTTTGTATGAGGAACTACTTTCTTCCGCCTTGGATTCAAATCATAAGCGGCCAGTTAAACAGTTGAGCGTGCATCTTTTACACTGTAGATCTGTAGTGTCTGCTTTCTGCTGGCTGTATGTGAGCAGAGTAATACACAAAGGGTAAAGAGGCTGTACGGGTGCTGATATTACTTAAATATATCATGGCTATCAGCCAATCAGATTCGCGAACCAGACAGAACTGTTGTGTAAATATATATACACAGGGTTCCAAAGTCAAATGTAAGCAATATTCAAGCATTTCCATGTGCATTTTCAACCTTTTTCAGCACTATACCAAGTGTGGCAAATTACATATTTAGATACATATGCATATACTTAATCACATTATATCACATGCTATTTGTTATAGTATGGACATTTTTGACTACATATTTGCGCCAAGTCAAGCATTAAATTACTGTCATTTACTGTCTTTAAGAATTATTTTATTTTAAAAGTTAATTATCACTACCTATTTAGTAAGATCAATTATAATGCAAGAAAAAGAAGTGAAATGATAAAAAAATGGAGTTAATTCATTTAGTCTTTGAGGCTGGTATACTTACACACTGCTGACACACAACTGTGTTCAGACCCATTATTAATGTGAGTTCTGCATTATACGTCCCCTACGTTTTTTAGACCCTTCAAAAAATCTAAACTATACTAAACCTTTGTGATGAGGAGTTTGCAGTGTCTCTGTCTCTCCTCCCAGATCTCTCCGCATTTTCAGCAGATGCAGGAGGGTGTTTTTGGTCTGTTTCGGCTGCAGATGCGGCAGGTTTGTTCCCCATGGAGTCAGACGGTGAGCGCTGGTTTATATTAGATGCTCCTTTCGAAGGCTGATCAGAAGAGTTTCCACTGCTGTTTGAGTAATCTAGACATGCTTTCACTTGATCACTGTTGTTGGACATCTAAAACATAGTAAACTTCTTATTATTTTGATATCTAATAATGAAATTATTATATTATAATGTGAGATGTAACATCATATTATACATACTACATATTACATATATATTACATGTAAATATGAGAACATGGCTGTGCAATCTGACAATATACACTCATTGGCCACTTTATTAGGTATACCTGTTCAACTGCTCATTAATGCAAATTTCTATTCACATGACAGCAACTCAATTTGGCCTCAACAACATGAAAGCATGGATCATCCTGCCTTGTATCAGCGGTTCAGGCTGGTGGTGGTGGTGTAATGGTGTTTCAATTCAATTCAGCTTTATTTGTATAGCGCTTTTACAATGTAGATTGTGTAGATTGGTGTGGGGGAGATGTTCTTTGGGTCCATTAGTACCAATTGAGCATCAACGCCACAGCCTACCTGAGTATTGCTGCTGACCATGTCCATCCCTTTATGAGCACAGTGTCTCCATCTTCTGATGGCTACTTCCAGCA